TCGAATCGTCCCCTTGATTGTCCCGGCCGTGTCGCCGTGCGATTACTTAATTCCACTCCGAGTGGGCCCGGACCCTCATAAAGATAACGGAACGAGTGGGCCTCCTTAATTTATAACTAGGAGCAGAGCTCATGTGCCAAAAAGTATCACCCGGCGAAATAACGCCCGCTTGTTCTCGTAATGACAACGATTTAACCGCGATAACACGGAAACGGGTTAAGCAGAGCGAACTCTGTTTCGACAATTCCCGGGCGAAGTGCGATGAATTATTTTTTTAATTGTTCGCAGTTTGCTTTCGACGCTTATTACGATAATTGTGACACTTGTAGCTTCGCGAATCCTCCTCGGAGTCACTTTTGTTACGGAATACGCGTGAGTGATATAATTTACTACAGTCAATCAAAATATAATTGCAAGAAATTATTTAGATTTTCAGCGCGATTTTTACTTTAAATTAAAAGCGACTTTATATTTAAAAATTTTAACAACACGGGCGGGACTCGTAACGACATCTCACAGCGTCCCGCGTTACTCAAACCAATCGAGAGCATTGCTTTAATAATATTTTTACCTCAAAATTTCAAATCAGTAATCACAAAAAATCACAGCATTTTCTCGTAGCTTCGTTTAGTATTCAACTAGATTGCACGTACAGCTCAAGGTTCGTCGTTTATATTTGCTTCCAAGAAGCTGCAGAAAAGAAATAATTAATAATTATCTCGCCCTTGTTAGCGCCTGGTAAACATTCGCCGTTCTGTCTTTCTCAACCCGCTCCTGTGTTTGAATAAGTTGAATAAATAACCTCTTAGTTTTCTAGACTATTTGCCTTGAGCTTAACAGTTATGTAAAACGCGGTAAAAAGGATCTAATAAACTCGAGTCCATAGTTCACGCGAGTATTGCATTTTAAAACAAACAGCTTTTACGAACAAAACACAGCGGTAACAGTTTAATACATGTTTTAAGCAAATAATAACATAAAAATTCTTTAATATCACATAAACTTACTTCGTAATTGTAAGATTTCAATCGCGGGTAAGAAAACTTGTTACTTGTTAGAGAACTACATTGAAATGTTAATATTGTCGCGCTCGTCTTCAAGAATTATAGGTGGATATCTTTTAAGCTACGTCTAGTATTGGTAAAGCTGAGTGCATATATTATGTAATATGAGAATAATTTTATCTAAGTGTATCACTAAACATATGACTAAGGTTCTATTCTCGAAGTACATACCTAAGGCCCAGTGGCCGGCTCCTGTATTATATACACTATTATTGTGGCGTCTCTGTCTGTACGGGGGATCGGGTCGTCACCGCGTATTACACAGATTTTAGAAAAGTGTCGGAATTGACTCAGATTAGAAACACACAACACTCACAAGGCAATCAATAATTCGCTTAACAACAATAACTGCTAATTATATCTTAAATATTCATAATTGTACCCTCACATATTAAAATAAAAACTGTGCACAATCTCCCTAACGTCGCGATTCCTTTCTTTGACATCAGAGACCCCCTCTCTCCCACGACGGGCGCAGCATCGACGTCGGGCCAAGTTAAAAATCATTTCAAAAAGTTTAACTAATATATGCGTTTAACCGTTACAGTTTTTATTCTGAATGTGTACTCCTTTAACGATCACTAGATTTTTTATGTAAACTTTGCATCGCAATTTACCCTATCGCTACCTTCTTTGAAATAAATAAAAAATGTTTTATTGCAGCGTCGAGGCAGAGGTTTTCTAAAACACGCAATCACACAAGTTTAAGCTTGGCATATTAGTATTTTCTATAACTTTTCAATCTGTATAAAGAAATCAGTGGATTTCCTTCAGAGTAGTATTCCCATTATATGTCTATTAAAAAGAAATATTTAAAAATAGTGTACACCTAGAACGAGACCGTGGAATTTTTTCAATTCTCATTCGTAGTCAATATACAAGTCCCCAGTTTGAGTTAAATCGAGCAATACAGATGAGCCGTCTCGTCACGTGCCTTATAAACTTTATCTTGTCAACGTTTTATTTGCTGAATATTTTATTTAGTCAATTTACGAGGGCACTTATTCACCGATACACACGTTGAAATCAAATATTGATTCGCAGTACATCGTGACTGGGGGTTAATTTACAATTTGGTTTAGTGTTTAGTTAAATTTTCTTTGAAGCTCACCAAACAACAAACGGTATCGTTGGGTAAACACGGACTATACAAGGTGGGCTTACGCCGACAACAGATGGGAAGTCATTAAGGGGTAGACAAAACATCCATCATAAGTTTAATGTTAGTGAAGGAATTACTAAGTTTGCCTCTTACTAATAACCTAGTCGTGTTGAGTTATCGCGAAGGGACTGCCGGCTTGATTAAATCTAGATAACTTTAAGTTTTAACACATTTCGAAGATGCGATTTTAATAATATGCTAAAACGTACATTTTCTTTTTAATAACAAGAATTAGCGAAAGAGGCTCATAATGCAATTAAACGTTAAGCCTTAATGTCATCTTCAATGATCTTCTTAAGCTGCAAAGCATAAGACATTGATCATTACGCGAGAAATTCGTGTATCAACCGGTTGAAAAAAACGACGTTGACGTCGTCAGAACACAGTAGCGTAATTGGTTAGAACAAGAGCACGGAACGCTGTGGATGCCGGTTCAAGTCCCGTCCGTGTCGTCGATTTTTCCACTTTAAAATCGGTATTTAATTTTAAAGAGTTGTATGTTTACAGTGTGCAAGAACAGCTGTTTGTGATAAAAATAATGGGTAAGTATTACTGAATAATCATCAACGCAACTAAAAAAGTCTGGTTAGAGAAGGATCGTACGGCTATATCTAAATCCTTCTTGCATGAGGTATTCGCATAATTTCGCTCACCAATTAACAAGTAAAGTTCATCTTTCACGGCTAATTTCAGCGGATAAGTCCTGTCGCAGCGAGCTGCTTCTAACTGGTTATAACGGGAATATTAACTATTTCGAGGGACATTACTGGGACGCGATTCGCAAAAGAGCTACTGGCTAATTAAAGGGTTCAACACTCCATTGCGGCGGTTTTTCGAAGAGATTCAACGAGATTACACTTCAAATAACTTCTGGGAGTGAGACAGCCACTTCTCGTAAAACGGTTTCGTCGTAACAATTAATTAGAATCCACACTTTCCAGACGATATCTAACATGTTCTAGAAGCATGTTGCACCTGGTGGAAGTCGAAACCAGGATTCGATCCATCGATACAACTTCGACTAACGACCCACAAAAGATAAACAGTACGTGCTTTTTGGGGCTACTACTGGGCCCGGGATTTCGGAGGAAACTACAATTACTTATTATTATTATTATTAGATTTAATCATTGAAATAAATGTGTGCTCTCAATGAAGGTTGGACCTTCTTTTTGCATCATTCGTGCAGTATAAAAGTACGTCAAGTAAAATATATTCACACGCTAAATAGTTACCTCTAACGAAACGGGGCAGCTCGTATGCGCCATATTTGAGTACGCATGAAATAACAAACAAAATATGTTAAAAATGTTATTCAAACAGTTTCTGGTCCCCTTGTTTGCCAAACAAATGACAAACATAAAAACCTCTATTTACGACTACAATGTAATGTACGAGCTAGAATAAAAGCAGGAAACATTGAAAATTTTCATTTTAATCCACGCAAAATGTAAAATATGACGCTCGCGCGGTGCAGCGTTGTTCTAATATTATTCAATTTGCATATCTGCCGAATGAGTGCCGCGTTCGTACGGATCCGATCTGATCAAAGAGATAATTTAACCAGGACGTGGCGTATTTGCCCCAAAATTGGCATTCAATGCGCGGATTACGGGCAAAAGTGTTTTAAAATGGGAACATGATCAAATTAATCCGCGCCGTTATCCTCTACTCGACTGAAACAATTTTTAATAGCCGTGCGGGTATTTTGAAATAAATTAATTGGCCGCCTTTTATATTGAATTACAGTGCCAGTAATTTTGAGTAGGCACCGAATTGCGTTTTATGCAAATAGGACCTGTTTTGCCGACGATTTATTCGCTTCCTAGACTTGGCTATAAATCCCTAATAAAAACAACACACCAGTATTTAACGTCATAATAAGACAGTAACAGGTGTGAGTAAGTTCAAATTATGGCGATTTTTGTAATAAAAATAGTGTCTCTATTGTGGTAGTTGTGAATGCGTGAAAATACACACATTAATCATTTTTAATGCCGCTAGTCAACCTTTTGACCGTTTTACATTTGCGTAAACCATGTATCTGCAGCTAGAGCAGGGGTACCGAACGGGGGGCATCGACCAGCTATGCCTAAGCCTATGTCAGTATCAGCATTATTTTATTATTTAAAAAAATATCATATCCTGAACTGTTACTTAAACAATTTTAACCAGTTATGCAACCATGATGGTGTTCCCAATATAAAGTATAAGTAAATTGCGCAACTGCCTAATTATAGTGTAGAAAACACATACATATATCTAGAAGTACGAAACAAAAAGCTCGAGAAGCATTTGAATGGTCATTGAGGTAACTCATTTGCGTAACAACAAACACTCGGCTCGGAAATTCCGCATTCGGAGTAAGAACTATTGAAACTAGACCGGTATTCCGCGTCCTATTTCATCACTTTATATGAGCTCTGGAGCGGTTCAGCGCTGAACTCCGAGTTCAACCGGGGATAGTCTGAAATGTGCGCGGAAATTAATTCGAAAAATGTTGCTTTCAATCTTTGCACGGCGAAGACGTAGTGAAGACGCGTGGAGCTCGTACTATTTTTGCAAAGTATAAATTTTTTTCGATTCTTTCGGCCCACACACTGTAATGAGCGATGTTCGCCCGCTTATTTACAATAGGCCTTAATTCATCGTCCGGAACTCGGCGAAATTTAATTAATATTAGCTCGGCAACTGGATTAGCTTCAATTTGAGCGTCCTACATAAATACTTTGATCTCGTTAGCGTTTCTCGCGACTCTTTATTAAACCCGGACAATGAGCGCCGTTATAACAATTCCCTCATTTAATGCAACAAGATTAGCAGCTTCGTCTCGGTTACAACAGGTCAATTATTTCGGACGAGGATAAAAGTCATAACAGATACCTTCGTCGTCCGATGACTGGAGATTTGAGATCGAACAAACGCGCTATTTAAAAGGGTAAACATGGCGCAGTCGACTGAAAGCTCACAAATCAGAATCCGGAAATCCGACGTATTCTGTAAGTGTTCTTAGGCTAATGCGATCGCTCTCGGTCGCCCGACTCGGAATGGTCGTCGCAAATTCGAAGCAGGCCAGAATTGCGCGTCCAGCCACCCGGAAAATTGTATCGCACAGGTTCACTGCTAATCTATGCATATTATGCCCCACACCGTGAATGTCTAATGACGAGCGCCGTACGATGCCGTCGGTCACGTCTTTCGTTATTGTTACGTTCGTTAAACGTTTGACTTCCAATAATAAAATATGTAGAAAATTTTATAGATGACGACCGGTCCAATTAAATTATTTTTCAATCAATCGGAAATGATTCCATTAAGAATGTATGTGGAATAAATTGTTCGTCCGATCGCTTTATTGTTTTCATATTTGCGCGAACTATACATTTGCGATAAGGATTGATGAGATAAGATTTTTCTGTGTAATATTAAATATTATATCATTCGACTTTCGATAGCGATATACTCCAGATATAAAATAAAGCGGTCAGTCCTGCTTTTTAGGAGTACTTTTATGTAAGTATTGTAGTTAGGTTTGATTTTTTAATTAAACGTTAAGTACACGCATCTAATATATATTTATAGCTATATGTGGACTGTGAGCAATTTTTATAATCTCTTATCTCAAACATAACCTTATTTTCAGAACACAATGGCGCACGGATATCCCCCAAATAGAGATTACCTTTGGAATATTTTTAGAAGGTAAGTACAAAAGATGTCTTTGTCCCGATATGTAAAACAGATGTAAAGATAAATTCATATTTGGAGATGGGTGAAATCTAAAATATAAATAGGACGACGTGTTGCGGTACATACCGGAAAGCAAAGTGACGGAAAAAGAATAATTCTTACGTTTGATTTTTACGTTTATAGCGTAGATAAAGATGGGAGTGGTTTTATAACAGCTGATGAACTTCAACAAGCTCTCTCTAATGGTACATGGAGTCCATTCAATCCAGAAACAGTTCGACTGATGATAGGTATGTCTGCTTTCAAGTTTTTAAATTTACGAGGTCACATGTCTTTTAAACGAATTTATTAAGCATGTTATTCTGCAAGTCTGTTTTTAAATGTAATTGAATTTCATGTATGCTAAATATACTTATACAAAGTATTGTGAAATCCTGTTTCCCATTGGGGGGCATGGGGCGAACACATTTTCGTGTTACCGGTTATATTTATAGAAACGTAATTGATGAGATTTCTGTCTGATCGAAATAATCTATTGTTTTCCCGGGATTCGAACCCAAGACCTCTCGCATAATGCAATGCCAAGCATATATACAAAGTATGGTAGTTTGAAATTATTACGAATGTTACTATGGAAACCAGCGTTTGATTCAAAGTTCTTGGTAGTTTATCTTTTTGGTTCACCTAATCTTTCAACTTAAAGCTAATCTGGCTAATCCCAGAATAAACACACGAGATTAGTTATTCCGTCCTACACAGTATCTAACACATGAATTCTGATTGCAGGAATGTTCGATAAGCAGAACAGGGGGTCCATATCGTTTGAAGACTTCGGAATCCTTTGGAAATATGTGAGCGACTGGCAGTCCTGCTTCAGATCGTTCGATAATGATAATTCTGGTAACATCAACGAGATGGAATTAAAAAACGCTTTGAGTTCATTCGGCTATCGGGTGACGGACGAGGTCGTTAGCATTATGATCCGGAAGTTCGATAGATTTGGACGAGGCACCATTCTCTTCGATGATTTCATACAATGCTGTGTCACACTCAATGTAAGTAACTTTAGAGATAAGATGACACTAACGATGGTTAATAGAAATAAACTAAAGATAAGGTTACGAGAATCAATAATTAATGGTTTAAATTTGATAATAAAATAGTCATACGATATAGTTCTCGGAACGAAATAATTAAGCGCTTAGTATCTGCTGTTTACGCAATTATTATACCACAATAAGTATTATCTGTAGTTTACGCGAGTCGATTACATTTATCTATATATGTTAAATTAATTTTATATTGAATACGACTCAAAATTTCGGAGCAGCCGACTTTGACATTAAGGACGCCCTCCGTCGTTAGTCCCCTTGTGACGTAGTTAAAAGAAGTTGACTAATATATTTTAATAGGGTTTTATGAAACGAAATGATTATTTGGTAGAGAATCATTAAATGATAATTTCGTTCGTTTAAACAAGATGCGCTGTTGATCTGTTTTGGCGTTGGATATTTGGAAATCCACAGACTGAAACTCAAACGCGATTAAAAGTGACGACTTTTTAATCTATGGCTGGTAGTTCGTGACGGAATTTCGGTATTCCTAACACCCACTTGATATCCAGATTTCCAGACGAAGTCCATCATGTTTCAGAAATATTATAAATTGGTTAGGAGCATGTTGGACCCGGTGGGTGCATCGAACCCACGACCACTTGATTATTAGCCATACATTTCTATCATTAGACCAACGTGCCCGTCAAATATATTTTGCTTAGGTACCAGCTATATAAAATTCTTTGTTCCAGAGTTTAACAGCAGCATTCAGGCAGTACGACACAGACGGTGATGGAGTGATTACGATACATTACGAACAATTTCTTAAAATGGTCATAAGTTTGAGGATGTAAAATATATACAATTTTATATTATTTAAAATACTGTTTCAGTGTAATCCTACGCGGGTATGTACTTCTTTCTCTTGCGGCCCCGGCGTCGCAAAAGCCAAATTTATTGAAGGTCTGAAAAAATAGGATCAAAGGAAGTTGTGGCAATATAAATGTTTATTTATTTGTTTATATATAAGAAAAAAAGATTCGTGAATGGATTTTGAGAAACATTCGTACCCCGTAGGGATCAAACCTACATTCCTTTACACTACTGCTACCTTAGGACTAGTTCGCACTATATTTCGCAACTAAACCGAATCTACTTATCAGCCTCGGTTATTCGAGAAATAAATTGGCTCTAACTACGGCTACATTGAATTACAGCCTAATTGTTATTTATGGTAAGTGCATTTCGTGACTCAATGCGAACATTGGCTATTTACTCACCGACGTGCTGTTTTCGATAATTCGCCATGCGCTAAGGATCCGCCCGACTGATTTTTAAACAAACAATTTCGGGATTGAGTTTTCGACCCGTTGACCGTCGTAATTGAAAAATGTTCTTCGACGTTTTGCTATCACCTCAGATGTTGTCAATACTGATTAATACATAAATGAGAAAACAGATAACAGGTACGTTTTTATTAGAAAAAGTCAGTCAAATAAACATGTACACAGACATGAAAGTAAATACGACATAAGCGCAAGTAATGGCAATATGTTAAATTATCACAACGCTATATTCAAATGTCCGTCCGGTCACATTAAAAATGTTAACCAAATTAAAACAAAAAGTATTTTCATACAAAAACTATTGTCAGACGGTATTTTCTCTTCAAAATTAAAATGATTACCAAAACAAAAAGCTGAGGCATTTTTCAACTTGTTAACGCCGAAATCGAATCGTATCCAAATAAAAAAAGAAAATACAGTTTTTTTTTTATAATATCGAAAGCTAAGAAATTGTTAGTCGTAGCTCGAACTATTGACGCCATGTATTGTTTGGTTATTAGTATTGAAACTTTTCCGCATCGTTTTATTTCGTTGTTTTTTGTTTGTTATCAAAAATATTTTCAAAAAATTAAATGTCATTTTTAACTTAAAATAAATAAAAAGGGTCAAATCGTGTCGCGTTGTAATTAACCGGCTCGCTCGTCAATAAATAGAATTGAAAACCCATATATTTTCAAATCGCCACAATATCGAATATTGATAGGCATTAAATGTAAAAACAAACGATGTTTCATATGCTCCGGCTCTATTTAAATGGGAATTCGTTTACGAACGCACTGTATCATAATAAAATCCAATATTTGTATTTTCCTATTTCCTATTAGGTGCGCAAAATTGTGAACTACATTTTGAGTGAGTTTTACGTCGACGATTGAGTCAATGAAAATGTGCATAGGAACAATTTATATCGTTATTTTTACCGTATTCTCAAATGCTACTTGCCATTTCGTCGAGTTCCGTCGTACTTGAGAAATAGTTCTCGTCGTTTCACCATCGCGAGTGCAATACGACGAAGTAGCATTGTAGAGTGCGGCCGTTTTATGCGTCCTTAAAGTTATTAAAAAATATATATTTATAGATATGTATTAGTACTTTTACATATAACTATTATATCTAAGTAGAACATGTTAACCGCTGTTACGTATTTAAATGCTGGTGGAACAAAAATAATATTATCCCATAGATACTAGATAGACTCGGTATAAACACGCACAATATCAATAGTATACGAAGAAAACATCAAAGAGGCACAAACCTGATAATATAATCGTTTTAGGAAGCTCTTAATTGCTTTATTAAATCTTATCTAATATTTACAATTTACGATAATATTTACAATAATATTTAACTAATGAGGCACAAACATTCACAGAGCACCATGGAGCAAATACATCGCGTTACGGCGACATTTACTAGTCGACCCGCGCTTAAAACTCTTACTTCAACTTAATTCACAGTAGTACTGCGATCTCTTTTATACTGCTTTTTAGTAACTTATTCGGTCGTTTAAATAAACAAATGAAATTAAGTCAATACAAAAGCGGCGCCGGCGAGGGAGGCGGCGCACGCGCAGCCGGCTCTGGCTCTGATTCACAGGCATCCGTCGAGGCGGGGGTGGGTGGTGGGGGCCGGTTCGAGGAACGGTAATGCCGGTAGGGTCGACGTCGACTACCACTTGCTGTCGCCGGACTAGGGGGCGGGTTCGCCGTGGGCCGGGGATACCGGCCGCAGAGGCTATCCGATGCGGATGCCGACCCGGTTGCACTACAACAATAAAGTTTACAAAGATAAAATGAGATATAAAATTAATGCCATCAGAGGGACTCACGTGCTTGTTTTGACTTAGATGAGCGCAACTGCATCAGGACACTATATGTTAAATTAGTATAGAATTAATATTTCAAACTTAAACCATTTCACAAGACACATACAGTCAAAAAAAATAAACTTAAGTATTAGCTTAAGAACTGCATGAAATATGCTTAAATAAATACAAACAAAAGAAGGAAAAAATTAACTTAGAAGAGACTTGTGAAATAGGAGAAAGAACTCGGCATGTGTCAACATGTGCCGATCACCACCTAAGAGTAGATGATGAGCATCAGTGCTCCTGGGGAAACAGAACTACAAACTATATAAATAATGTATATTTATTTAACATCAAATAATATTAGCTTACGGCAACCTAAAAGAAGTAACCAATATTTACGTAAAGAATATCAAAGGCATATGAAAATGTTTTACTCTGAAGATGGCAGTGAGATCCTTGTTCTGGCGTAATCTGGCGGTGGCTTGGTGTACACGAGCGGACTAACAGGCGCGGGTAAGCGACGCGGTGGCCCAGAGCGGCATCTTCGGAAGAGAGCCGCCGCGCCCACTAACGCTGCGCACGCGCCGCCCACAGCGCACCAGACCGCCACTGCGTGCCACTGATGCCCCGTACTTCCGCTTAAAACCTAATATAATAAAACTGTTTAGAAAATCAACTCCATCAACTCAACGCAATTAACAACAATTTATATAACAAGTGTATGTAACGTGTAATATAATATTACGCTCCAATGACGTTTCATAATACGCGAACTTACTGTATCCTTCTGTACGTATCCACAAGCCGCTGGAGCTTCATCCGAACCGTCTTCACAGTGTTGGTGTCCATCGCACAACAGCCTTGAGGCGAGGCATAAGCGATCGTCACATCTACAATAAAACAACCTCTAAGTCATAAGAGTGCAGAAGTTAAGAGGCTTAAGTGACATTCAAAATGAAATGTTTGAATAAGAACAATTAACAATTACTTTACCAATTTAATTGTAAAACTTCGAGCGCATGTGAAATATAATAATTTGTATATAAAGGGTTTCGCGACCTTTTGTAAAGCTTCTTGTGTTTTCGAGCTGTCCAGCCCTGGATATTAAGTATTTGTTGTCAATTACAATGCTATTGTCTTTTGTTGATATCATCCCCTTGTGATGTGCAGTTGTCGAGAACATTTTCTCAAACACGACAACCACAGTATGAAAACCCAAGTAGCATAATACATTTTGGTAGACAAACTCACCGGAACGCATCTGGCAGCGGCATGGCGTGGCAAAAAGCGCCCGTGCTACACGCTCCCAGAGATGGGGCGCAAGAGCCATCCGCACATCGCACCCCACCGCCGCACGCGTCGCACGATCTCTCGTCTGAACCGTCTGGACAATCCGTCTGGCCATCGCACCTTGAAGCAGACAAAAATTAAATAAGACTGCTTAATCGAGTAAAATGGCAAGCTCGATGAAAAATTTAGGGCTAATAATCTGCGAGTGTTCATTTTCAACATTATCAATGTATTCAGAATCTGATTTATATATTTATTTTGATACACAAACAACATACAAGACACTGACTACAAAAGGATTTAGTTGTATGCACTATATGTATTTCTTAGCCAATTAACATTTATTTATCAAAGTTTATTAACTATTATTAAATATAACAGGAATGTTTTATAAAAATAAACATTTCACTTCGTAATCAAAATAAGAGGGGAATACTAACTTCCAAAACATGGGTATGCACGGCGCATGCGCATCGTCGATAGCATCCGTGGCGACATCTAGTTGCCCGCAGAGGAAGTGGCCGGATGAGCACGGGCGCGTTCGGCGTGGGTGCGCGCACTGCAGGCCACAGCCGCAAACGCCACCAGCGCCGCACGATCCCGGGGAAGAACCGCAGGACCCACCGCCGAAGCACGGATGCTCTCTGGGGACCTAACCATACGCAATAGCTGCTTTTAAATCCTATGAGGAAGTTCAATAATCCAAACTTTATCAGAGCATTTCCATTGAATTGAACTGACTGTAGATTTCTATTATGAATGCTTGTTCTCGTTTCAGTAAATAGGTTTTGCAGTTTATCTATTTTGTAGAAATCGAAAAGATTTTTTTAGGATTCTATACCCTTAAGTGTTGAATTTATTTTTGTTTTATAACTGCAACCTAAAGGGGAACAGATTATCCACCTACTGTCTGTAGTTACCCGTTTAAAACGAGAAATATATTAGTTAAACGTTATTATATTTAACTATAGGCCGAAGTTTCAGATTCGGATTTCGTTAAACTGATATATTTCGCGTTTGAAACCGGTATAAAGTTTTATGAAAACAGTTGATCTGCGAAAATTAACTTACCCGATGTACAGTCTTGGCGGCAATAAGTTTGGCGATATGTTGAACAGGAGTAGCGGGTGCGTCGCGTCGGTGGAGGGGGATGCGCATGAGTGCTCGCTCACCACCGCCCAAGTACAGCGAGCCGCCGTAAGCAGCTAGCGAGCCCACCCACCCGCCTTGCCATACAATGCGTCTGAAACGATATTACGACAAGGTAAAGCCGATGCTAAAGAAGGCGAGTATATAATTGCTTTCGTAAAACCCACATGTGTTGACCATTAAAGACAGAGCACTAGAGCAGTTAACAAAAAAGTTAGTTTTTCTCTAGTGCAAATATTGTCTGTCAACACCTAAAAAAAATCACTTTCACGGTTTAAAACGCGAAGTATATGAGTTAACTTTTTCATTTATTTATTTTAACTACGGCCCAACGTTTCGTCTCCCGGTGACCACGGCTACTTTTAATCATCCAAAACGTTGAGCCATTGTTAAAATTAATTTAAAATAACTTTACTAATAGATTTCGTGTTTTAAAACGTTAAATGTGTTTTATTTAAATTACGATAATATATAACATAAACCACTGTTATGCTTTGGTAAGACGATTGTACTACCAGCCTTTGCTTCCAAAACATACCTGTTAGAAGTGTCTAAATCGACGGCGTGTATTTGCCTAGCGACAGCCCAATATACGGTGCCGGTTGATTCGTCCAACGCTAAAGCAGTTACGTTAGATACGCGAGCCAGTTCAATTTGAGCAGTTCCATCCACGCTCGAACGCATTATCACTCCTAAGCCTGCGTCGCTCCAGATCAGCAATCTATAAAAATTAACAAAAGATATGTATAATAAAACTTTGTCTATACCTAAATATTTATGGTAAAGACTGAGAAAAAGAGTCTGAAGTTTCAAATATATATAATATTAAAGCAATAGAAAGCATTTGTCTACAAAAACTGTATCAACACCTAAAAAAATAAGACAGAGGTACGTCTTTAGGTCATATGTCTTTAGTATTTTGAAAGTATAGATTTACTGAAATATTAAGCTGAAGAGTTTATTTCTTTGTTTGTTTGTCTCAGGAACTACTGAACTATTTCTGTTTTGGTTAGAACATTTATCGAGGGAGGCTTAAGGCTATTAAACGCCACGAAGCAAGCAACTTGAGCGAAAAACTTCTTTGACTTATTCAAATGACGGCGACACCAAATCTATCTTATAAAAAGCAAAAGCGACGGGACGCGACCGACGTGGTGGGTAACAGCGATTATTTAAAAAGCTGAGGAGTTATGCGAAAACAAATTTTGATACCCAATACAATTTTTGTGCGCGGGCGGACTTGCGGGCACAGCTAGTTTAAATAACATTTCTCAAGTCGCCCGTACAATATATAGTAATAAGCAAAAATTATATAATGAATCACCTTTTTGTCTGATGTAGCGCCAAGTGCCTAGGCATCATTTTCTCGCCGCGCACGATCACGCCCGTAGAGGAATTATTCTCTATCGAAGTCGCGTTTATGGAATCCGTGTCTAGGCAAGTCCAGTATAGAGCCCTGCCGAGAGCGTCTAACACCATGTGGAAGGGTCTCGATAGCCCAGAAACGACTATTGAAGAGTCAGTGACAGCTGAAGTGGCGGAATACGATATGGGTACGCGTCGTATTGCGTGACTGTCGTCATCCATCCAGTATAGGTACCTGGAAAAACACAAATATTTTGTAAGTAAATATAATATCTATGCACATTCGATATGAAATTTAACACTCTATCGTTGCTAGAACTATTGCCTACAAATTTTAACTTTATACACTATTTGTTTACTTTAATGTTAGTATGAAATTTATCCAAAACTAGTCAACACAAGTAAAGATTGTATCAACTTCTCAAAACGATACGTCATAAAGTTTATGGCAGCACGGCACATTCAATGAGCGTATTGATAAGAGCTAGTATCTTTATAATGATGGTACATACTTCTCAACGGGGTCGTACTCTATCGCCTTCACGCTCTTGAGGCCTGTCAAAGGGATAAACGCATCATTGCATTCAGCGTTAGCCACCAATATCCGGCCAACAGCGTTTTTCTGGGCAAAAAGGAGGAACTCTTCTGGTTCTGAAAAATAATCAACAGTTTCAATCAATCTAATGTCAGGTCACAGAGGGTCAAGGTACGGTAAGTTAGAGTTAATATACTTTTCCACAAACAACAAACTACAAAAAGCAATTCCATTTTTAATCATTACATTTTGTTTTATAACAAAAATTCTCTTTATTTGGCATTTAGTAACTTTAAAAAAAGAAAAAAATATAATAACAATAAAATAATTAAAATAAAAAGATTAATTTTAAATTAAAGAAAAGTGATGCCAAAAGCGTCTTCCAGAAACATAAGTTGCAGCACATTATGCTACAACACTGATTTTCAGAAAAACCCTACTTCGTCTGTTAAAGAGCTCTCATTCTTTTGTATTTTTTTTTTCTAGGAACGCTATGGTGGCTTAGTTACTCTTCTTCACGAACAGTTAAAGACAAAAGGGATTTAAAACTCACCAGAACAAGTTATATTGTCTCTATTCAGACGGAAATGCGCCGGACAAGCACAGCGGAAGTCGTTATTTGGAAGAGGAAGACAAAGATGTGAACATCCCCCGTTATCCACGCCACACTGATTAGGCAGCGAATCCCTGGCTCGATGGTACACGCGCAAATCCGATATATAGTCCATTTGAGTATGGATAGTCTTACGATTAGAGCCATCGATCTTTTTTGCCACCTCAATCAGTCCTGGAAATCATATATGATAAGGTGAACGACAGAGCGACAGCACGGAACGCTAACGATGCCGGTTCAAGTCCTGCCCGAGTCGATAATTTTTTTTAAATTTATTTTCGATTTTTAAATTATAAGGTTAACGTCAGTAGTTTTTATTAATAGTATATAATATTAATAAAAACTACTTCTACCAATAGTCATAGTTACAATTAAACTTTATCTAGTACTATACTTCAATACTATAATTCAATGGCCTTTGAAGTAGCAGTGTAATGTCGCTATGCCCGTAAACTTTCAAGTCCATTTTTAGTTTAGTTTCGGTTAAAAGTATTTCGCTTGTTAGATATCCAGGGGAGAAGTTGCGTTCCCCTCCCACCCCTGGAGACGCCCATGAGTAAAAAAGTTGATTAATGAATATATAGTTTGCCTCACCAGTATTCCAGTCACCCCAATACACCTTATCGCCGTATAACGTAAGCGCATACGGCATCGGAATGTTATCGGCTAGAACTTTTCTGCCCGTCCCATTGAGAAAAGCGTACTCTATGCTCGGGGGATCCAGGGCTGCCCAATAAATGGCGCGTCGCTCGTAATCTATAGCCAGAGCGTGCACCCGGCCTGCCCCTTCGATGAGGGTGGTAATGGAGGAGCCGTCCATGGACCCTCGCTTTATCGTCTTCGAACCCAACTCAGACCAGTACATGTACCTAAAAGGAATAAAGATAAATATTATATGATGTACATTTTTCCATTTATATTAGAAATAATATTCTTTGAAAACTTTAATATTTTACAAATGTTATTGTACATGATGGTGTGTTTCTATATAGCGTATAGTAATATTGTACTTTCAAATGTAAATTGCTTGACCAATTTTAGTGAAATTTGGTATAATGAACACAAAGAACGAGAAAAAATTACAAACCCCTTTCTTGGATCCAGAGCGATACTTTTTGGTTTCTTTAACCCTTGCCAGATGAGTGTGCGCCTACTGGACCCGTCCAGCCTGGCTACTTCGATTCTCTGCGCAGCCGTGTCTGTCCAATAGATGTTTTGTCCAGACCAATCGATTGCTAAGCCTGTCGATGATGATAAGTAATATATGAACGAGTTACTTAACTAATATTATAATTTCAATATATAGAATAGGTTTAGTGTAATCATAGTTTTAACATATGCATTTTTGTTAATTTGTTAATTTTAAGTCCTATGGGGTAAGATAAACTGGTAAGGTAAAATAAACATAGTTCGGACATTATCTAATGACTGAATGGAGTTAAAAGAGCTTTGTCTCTGTCCCTAAATCTCCTCCCAGAACAAGAACACAATATGGCCAGTTAATGTGTATTAATGTGATAAAATAAATCATTTATATTAACTCGATTCAAATAATTCACTCGTAACTTAATTATCATCATTAGTCATACCTTCAACTAGTCCCATCCATTCCAGAATCTTTTCCATGTTGGAGCCATTAACTGAACATCGGTTGATGGTTTTGGTTTTACTGTCCGACCAATACAGCTTCGAGCCGGACACGTGCACGGCGAGAGCACTGGAAAACACAACAAGAGACGTTATAACATTATGTTGCTTAGTCAAACAGTTTAGTGTTTTGGAATTACACGTAAATTAATGTCAAATTATACCAGTAAATACTGTCTCTAGTTTACGCGAGTAGTACAAATTTAAATAAAACACTTTAACGGTTTAAAACGTGATACATACCAATTTCGACGGAACGGATGCTTTTTATTTAAATAATACTAGTAATGCAACAGCATAATAACAAGATTTTTTAAGCTAAACCAAACTAAAGTTGTTTAAAAGTCTTTTATCGGGGTTATTTGGAAAGCGATCGTAAGCAAGCCCCATATGAGTTACAGACTTTTTCAGGTAGCATCACCTAAAAAACTTCCCTCACCTAACTTCCTTCACGTCCTTAATAGGAAGTACCGCGTCATTGTGTTCATTCTCAACGCTCAAACGGCCAATGATGTTCTTGCGACTGTAAACAAGAAAGGCTTCTGGCTCTATGCAACTTTTCCTGTCACTGCCGAGTTCTAAACCTGAAAGAAGAGATATAAAGTTAGGCCTTGGGTCTTAAGCTAGAGCTTGAAGTCGTCGGGTTTTTTTTTAATATAGAGTAGGCCGGCCATTTTACATCTAAACAAAATGCGCTATCGACCTAAATTCACGGCTTTTTCCTATCACCCTTTGAATATCCAGATTGAACATGTGTTGGAAACACATGTTCAATGTGTTTCAGAAAAATTATATTGAAAAAATTTGAAACATGATGGACCGGACGGAGCCTACGAAGACGACGAAGGTTATACGAATAGCTTTTCTCACCCAAGGGGCAACTGCAAACGTAATCGTGAGGTCTGTTGAAGCAAAAGTGCGAGCAGCCGCCATTGTTTTCAGCGCACGCGTTCTTCCCCAGCGGTTCTCCAACGCGGAACGCCTTAACGCCCATCATGTTAGCCATCTGTTCCACCACTGCTTGACGTTCTAATCCTGTATATAGAAAATGATTTATTAAATACAGAAAAAACCAATACGGTCCTCAAATAGGTAAAAAAAATTATTGAAAGTTTGCTAAAGTTGAAACTCTATAATTTCATCTTCAAAGCTACAAAGCATAAGACATTGAACCTTAGATTGGTTAGACCTTGGTTAGAGCAAGAGTATGGAACGCTTTGGATGCCGGTACAAGTAACTCACCAGTGTCTTTATTAATCCTGTCCATTGTTCTCCTCTGTATGTCCGTCCAATAGAGATTCCGTCCGAGCAATGTCAAACCGAATATATGTAAAATTTCACTGCTGTGCAATTCGCGCCGTTGTGACCCATCCATATTGATGACCTGAAAGTCAATAGTTATAATTAAGAAATAGAAAAACAGTACTAAGTCATAATAAACTTTACATGGTACAAAATCATATTTCTTAGCATTAATTAACTCTTTTTTTCATTACAATGTGATTAATAATAAAATAACTAATGTAAAAGATTAATTTTATTTAAAAAGTGATGTTAAACGGGTCTTGCGTCAGCGTAAGTTGCAGCTCAGTATTACAGCTACAACACTGATTTTCAGAAAAACCCTTCTGTTCGTCTGTTAGCCACCGCTCATACAACCATTTTGATATTTCGATAAGAGTGACTTAAACGGTTATCCTTAGTAAATAAAGTATTAGTAACTATTGCAATTATCGGTGTAAATAGGAGAATGCAAGTCTTGTGCCCAGCGGCAAGCTGTTTTGGTAATTTAATAATAACGTCTTATCCAATATTTTATAGGCTGAAGTCAATCTGTCTCTATAACACAAAATATTTGCTCACCTCGATCTTGTGGGTGCGTGCATCCCCCCAGTACAACTTGTTGTGTTGTGTGTCCAAAGCGATTCCGTTGGGCCAAGTGACCCTTTCCGCCACGAGGAGCACTCGCTCTCCTCCGTCCAAGTTGGCTCGCTCTATTTTCGGCTTCTTTTCATTCCAATCCGACCAGAACATCCAACCGGCCGTTGGGTGCAGAGCAATTGCGCGCGGGTCGTAGAGCTCATCGTGGATTATGACCTGAAAGCAAACACTTGTCAATTAGCTATTAGCTAAAAAGAAACGAAAACTGCTACTAATAGCTTACGTCCTGATTACATAATTTTTAAAAGTAACATCTTGCGACGGGTTCGACGTCGTGATGCTGTTTTTATGATTGAGGACAGACAAGCCCACAGCTTATAGGATCGAAATAAGATGCGCAGTCGACCTATTTTAGCTTTGGATATTCGGAATTCCACAGTCTGAAACCGAAACGCGTTACATAATAGATAATAGATAATAAGTTTACAATAAAATACCTTCTTAGAGCTGCCATCGAGCCTTGCAACAGTGATAGTGTCAGAAACAGGATCAGTCCAATATATGTTTCTAGCGAGAGGATCTATCGCTATACTGTCTGGAACCCCCCCGCCGTGTATCACGACTGACTGCTCGCTGCCGTCCAGACGACTCCGAGATATAGTTGATCGCGTTTTTGACTGAAAAACATACATTGACGTTCCACAAAAACACACATTTCCAAATGTGAAGAACATTTGGAAATGTGTGGAACAATCCTTTGAGAATCCATTAAATTTAAAACCCTTCTATTTGTAAGTAAAATAAAGAGCATTACTTAATTTTATTTGGTGCACAATTAAAATTAACATTAATAGAGTGAACAAGACCTTTAAATTATCCAATAATCTGTTCTAGGCAACCCTCTGTTTTACAGCAACAATTGTAAATTATATTTTATCAAAAATACTTACTACACTGTCAGCCCAATATATATATTCAGTTTTTGGGTCAAAATCCACAGTAACAACTCTTTTTAAATCTTTCAGAGGAATATTGTACGGCGTAAAATCAGGTGAGTCCAGAGAAATCTTGGATATCATAGAACGTTGTGCTACTATCAACATAGATTGTGGGCCATTATAGCATGTGGTGTTGCTACCTTCTTTTAACTTAACACCCGTTGGACAAGAACACACATAGCCTGTAAAGCAAATTTAAATATATGGACATAACTTAAAAATAATTTCTCAAACTGTTACAGATATCTTAATAAAAATAACGAACCAGGTGCAGTCGGTGCTAACAAACACAAATGTGAACATCCTTGGTTATTAATTTTGCAGGGGTAATCTTCACTGGGTATAATTTGTCTATCTTGGTCATAGACCTTAATGTCAACAGGCACTGAGTCTGTTTTTACTAACTCCTTAATAGGACCAATTGAACCAACATCCCAAGTATATATTGCCCTGAAGAAGAATGGTCTGTGTAAGATTTTGATAATAAAAATATAAAAATGTACCTCTTGTGAAATACACTACTTACCATGTTTTCCAGTCTGTCCAATATAGTTTCTCATTAAAGAATGTCAATGCATATGGATAGTTTAAGCCGGTCTTAATAATTTTCTTTCTTTTATTGCCATCAAAGTCTATGACATCTACAAATTGAAGTTTCGAATCGACCCAGTATATCAAATTGTTGTTATAATCTATAGTAATACCATTTGGCCAGAATATATTATCTTTAACTATTACTTTACGAGTCGCAGGATCACCGTTCATGCCTGCTCTCTCTATTTTAGGAGTTTCACCCCAATCTGTCCAGAACATTAATCTGGAAATTAACTTATTTTATGAGACTATTCAGAAAGTACTGCTTTTATGAGCTGTAGCTCAAAAGTTAAATGTATTGCCTAGCATTGATTTAAGCATGAGAATTAATGCTAGGCAATACATTGAATGAATGCCAGGAAACAATGGATTGTTTCAGTCAGGCAGGGCACAGATGTCTGATCAACAACTTGCCTAAAAAGAAAACCAATCAGTGAAACAAACACAGAAATATGTTCACCTCATGCCACAAGAGGGGAAATGGCATTTTACTACCAATATATTACTATATGTGCAGTACCAACTTACAATTTTAACTACCAGAACTGACTTAAAAACCTATAAAAATAGTTATAGAGCCACCTGAAAGATAGGTCGCAAGAATAGCTGTATACAGAGTGAAGTTTTTATCTATAAGAGAGTGAATCATACCCTGATTGAGGGACAACAGCTATAGCAATAGCCAAATCAACTTCAGACCAAAATAGAACCTTGCGAAGTTTACTTTCCATACTGATCACTTCAATTCTGTTTGTTTCACCATCTGTCCAATAAATTTTACTTGTGTACCAATCTATCGCAATTCCTGTGGGTGTTATTAATCCTTCAGAAACTATTTTTATCTGTAAGAAATATAAAAAAATATATAGGTATTATAGTTGTATGTGCTAGAAAACTCTCACACACAGTCTTATTTAGATTATTTTAATCATGTTTAATAATATTTTCCTATTTAAATGCAAGTAATAAAGCACCCTAAACTTATCACTTACTTTATCACCAGTAGCAGTTTCATTGTATTTCATACATTGTATCAATTCCGCTGTTTGATCAGACCAACAAACAAGACTCTGCTTATGCAAGAAGTCAACGGCAGAACCTTGTTCCAAATCCTTGATTATTGGAGTTGCTTTACTTATTCTAGACAGATTTCCAACCCTGATATCAGCAGCAGTTGAATACAAAAGAACAGGATTTGTAGACATAGAATAAAAGCCTACAAACAAAATAATATTATGATGATGAGAGTTCATCTCTGGAACTATGAAAAGTATAAATAAAACTGACCTCTTAGTTGTAAAAACATAAGCAAAGTAAAAACGTGTACAACGTTTTGTATAATTTTATCAGCTTGGACTATTCTTCGACGTTTTATCATGTTGAAAACAAAGTAGACGGACCAAAAAACTGAACATAGAAGCTAATGGCTTAAGACTCTAGGAACAACAACAACTAAGGCACAAAAGGTACATGTTCTTTTATTAAATAAGATTAAAGGAATAATTTTAAAACATGGCATTCAAAAGCGTATCGAAATAGCTGAAACTGTTTGTAACCTAACGCAAGTCGTACACTCAGTAGTGTTATTTATTTTATATATTGCCAAAGAAGTGTTGTGTTGAGAACTCTAATAATATTTTTTTTATGCAATGCTAATTTATAGAAAACATCACGACAGTTGACAAATGATCACAACGAACAGATAAGAACAGCTTTATAATAATATAGCCAATAGTTTTATTGCAATTCTATATTATCTGAGACAGAAACAAATTGTTCTGTGGAGAGAATCAAACCCCACTTGTCCAAGTCATAAAATCCGAAATAAATCGGATGACTTGGTACCCCGGTAAACATTGGTAAACGCAAACGATTTTTATTGTACGTGTTAATGTATTTAAATATGTAGTATATATTTAATTTGAATTGAAATCATGGTTTCCGGTTCCATGTGAATATCACCTTTTTAACCCATTACACAGATTTTTAGGATTCAACATCTATAACATCGAAATGCCAGTACATTTCATATAATAACACTCTCAACGAAGCATTGAGGATTTTGAAAATATGGATATTATATCGATTTTGTTTGATTTATTTACCTACGGAGTATTTACAACTCTAGTTGGTTTCGTTGTTGTAAGTATTTAATTAATGTTTTTCAAAACCCTTTTTTGTTGACACGTCAGTAAATCTTTATCTTTGAACATCATTTTAGCTAGTGATAATATTAATGATTTTTACAAAACCATATCCGATAGTGGACAGATTTAAAGAAGAAGAAACATTTTATGACCCTACAACCAAATCTCGTCAAATGTTTTATCAACTAGATCAACCGAGTCAAGTTCATTTAAGTGTTATAGTTCCTGCTTATAATGAAGAAGAACGATGTAAGACAATTTTATCTGTTGAACTATACCTTATTTAATTACACATAATATAATTACTGCTCATTGCATTTACCCTATTAAACTAGACTGGTCACTAGTAATAACAATGCATGCTGTGAAGCTTTCACAATAATCTTATTATAGATTGTAAATGACATTGTTTTTATAATATCTAATAGAATGGCCTACTTTAAATCATAAAAACTTTTAAAATTATTTTAGTACCTCCAATGCTTGATGAAGCCATTGAATTTTTAGAAGACAGAAGCCAAAAGCAATCTTTTAAGTATGAAATAATAGTTGTTAGTGATGGCAGCAGTGATAGAACAGTTAGTGTAGCTGAAAAGTATGTTGAAAAATATGGCTCTAATAAAATTAGATGTTTGCAATTAGTAAAAAATCGAGGTAAAGGGGGTGCTGTTAAATTGGTAAGTATCCACAGCGTTCTTGTATAGAAGTAAGACATGGTTTTGCTAAAGACAAAATTAATTTAATTTTAATTCTTCTCTTAAATTTAGTCTGAATACTTTAGTATTCTTCACACCTTATTGCACATGATAGCATTGCACTGCAGTTCAATGCATCAATTGCTTAAGGCAGCAATATATATAAATATATAATAGTTAGTTATAAGTCATAGTTTAATCGTATTGTATATTTCTATGTTAGTTTAATAAATAAATATCAAATGCTTGGATGCCACTTCAAGTCCCACCTGTGTTTTATTGAATCCGGATTTGATTATTTTAAATCATTGTGTTTTAGGGCATACTAAGCTGCAGAGGTGCTTCAATATTGTTTGCCGATGCAGATGGAGCATCTAAGTTTGAGGATTTAGAAAAACTTGAGATCGCTCTGATGGAACTTATAAAGTGTCAAAGCCAACAATTACAAGAAATCAGCAATGGTAGTGCTATTGTAATAGGATCCAGAGCACATTTGGAGGAAGAGTCTTTAGCTAAAAGAAGCTTCTTTAGGTAAATACCAAATATGTATTAATTTTTTTGTACATTATTCGGAGCTTGTTGGGAATTTTGATGAAACTATGTGATGAGTAATTAAAATAGCAAATATTGTAGAAAAATAATTATTAATGTTATTAATTAGTTCTAAAAAAATATTTTTTCTTTCAGAAATATTTTAATGTACGGGTTTCACTTCTTAGTGTGGCTATTTACTGTCAAAGGTATAAGAGATACGCAATGTGGATTTAAACTGTTTACAAGAAATACAGCAAGGATTTGCTTTGAAAATCTACATGTTAATAGATGGTAAATATTTTGCTTTTTAAAGTACGTGTACTGTTTGTGCTGTTCTTACTTCAGGCACAATATACCTTTTTTTTTTTCAGGGCCTTTGATGTAGAACTACTTTACATAGCACAAAAATTAAACATTCCAATCACAGAAATTTCAGTACGGTGGACTGAAATAGAAGGGTCTAAAGTAACACCTGTGTTATCTTGGATTCAAATGGGCTGCGACTTGGGCCTCATTTGGCTTAAATACAAAATTGGAGCATGGAGGTTAAAGCGTAATAATTAAACAGAGCACAATTTAAGTATAATGCTTATTATTTACAATTTTATAGATTCTATAAATAAAAACAATATGCTGAATTAAGAGTTTAATTGTTAAATGTCATTTAAGGGTTATAACACAAAAGAATGTATAAGATTGAAAATAATTTATTTTCTAACAATAATGGAACCTCTTTATATAAAATTAAATATTCTGTAATAATAATGAATAAAAAATTATGCGCTTAGATTGATCTTAATGGAATAGACTTAGAGTATTCTACAACTTCAACATATATATTTTATTATCAATAACAATATGGACTTGTCAGTTATTTTTATAAAATTTGAGCACAGTCACATTTTGGCCAATATGAAGCTTTATAATCTTTTTACGTTCATAAATATAGTGCATCAATTAAATTATGCATTATGAGAACCATGTTCTTTGCTCATTGACGATTACCGATAACCATACCATAACATGCTCTTATACAAATTACAAAAAATGATTCTCTCCCAAAAAATTATGTCGCTAATATTGCATAAATCATAAACAACTATTTTGTTGTTTTAGATAGTAGTGTAAAAAAATTAAAGCGTTAAGTTTCGGAATTTCTTACAATAACATAAAATATTCACAAAAACTTCATCTTGTTCTTGAATTTGTGAAGCAACGTTGTGTTACGGCCAGCACTGGACGGAAGAAAAGGAATTGTAAATTATCTACATGTTATCTGAACAATAAAGCATTCAAAACTTCACATGGTACTAACTACAAAGAATTTAATGAAAGAAGACAATAACACCTTCTTAAGTCACTTACAAATTTATAAACGTTATAAATAAATAGGGGTTCACTTACAAAAAAAAAATAACAGAATGGTTAGAATATACATGCATTTATAGTAATCATTTATTATAAACATAGTACAAAACTCTTAATAACATTTAATAACAGAAATTGAAAATGAAAAGAAGACATAGTATCCTTATACCTTCAAGCCAAACACCATTTTCAAAAACTGCTCGTAATGTATTGTAATGACTCCATCTTGATCAGTGTCATACTGGCGGAATGCAGAGGTTAAAGTCTGTAATAAAAGATAACTTTTAAGGTGATAAGCTTTTGATTCCAGTTTCCAGACTAAGACTTTTGCTGGTAAACTACCATGTAAAGTACATGTTTTGTGTATATAAATAAAATGGAAACAAGAGCTTCCAGGTTAATTTTCTTAAAGCAACACTATATCATTTATAAAAAATATAGATCCAAAACTCACATAGAGAGTGACACAGCATTGAATAAAGTCGTCAAAGAGAATTGTCCCTCTTCCAAATCTATCAAACTTCTGCACCATAATATTCACCACCTCATCAGAGAGGCGGTATCCAAAAGCAGTTAAAGCATTTTTCAATTCCTGCCGATCAATATTTCCCGAATTGTCCCCATCAAACGATCTGAAGCAATTCTGCCAATCACTAACATATTTCCAAAGAGCTCCAAAGTCTTCAAAAGATATAGCACCCCTGTTTTGTTTATCAAACATACCTAAAATTGAACATGCAATGCAAAACTGTCCAATGCCAGAATTTTATACTAAATACATCAACAATGTTGGAAAATGACAATGAAAACAAGTCTTACCTATCATGAGACGTACAGTTTCTGGGTTGAAAGGATTCCAAGTGCCATTTGATAAAGCCAGTTGTAATTCATCTGCAGAAATATAGCCACTTCTATCTTTGTCAACCCTAAAAATGTATAAAGGAAAAACTGATATTATTGTGAAAATTACTTAATATTTTCCTGGTATGACATACATAAAGAAATAACCAACCTTCTAAATATGTCCCACAAGAATTCTCTACTTGGCATTGGTGATTGGAAGGCCATTTTCACCTGAAACTTCTTTGAGTCTGAAAATTTCCTGCTTCAAAATGCTGTAAATTGAGAAAAGAAAGGTGCTTACAATTTACTTATTGGTAACTAAATGCAGGATCATTAATTTGGATCAGAAGAGATAATTCCTTCGATATAAAGTTGTGATTGTGTTATCACATTTACTTATATCTATGTAATTTTATACCTGTCTTTTTACGATAAAGCGATAATAATATTGGTTTCCCTTATTTATAAGAGTCACCAAAAATTTATATCAGTTATTCAGAATAATAAAAAGTTTCTTAAGGATTTGTTGACTCAACATTTATTATTATGAACTCATGGCTCATACTCACTATAAAAAAATAAAACCACAAGATACGAGCTCACTATCAACTGCACTTAAACAGATGTAAAGGGAGATCACAGATGTAGTATATAATATAGTAGTTCGAAATACTGTTTTCATTGTGGTTAATATTATTTAATTATTACACCAATTTTTACTCTTGTAAAATTTGTTGGAAATTAAAATTCTCCACAAACTTTAATATACAATACTTTTAATATATTTAGTAATGTGTTTTAAAAAGGCCATAGAGCCGTATATTTCTTTCTGGGTTCGGTTTCGTTTTACCCAGTAGCGACACTTGTTAAATTTGTTTAGATTTTCTCTTTATTAAAGTAAGAATATGCATATTTTATAAGTACTTGGCAATATTTTTAAGGAGCCGTTTAAGTTCTTTGCAAATAGATTTCATATATACGAACCAAAACATTCGGCTGTTTGACATCTGTCAAACGATGGTAAAAAAGGCACTAGGTCTACAATGCTTGTCGAAATATTTTCATCTGAAATCTCTGATGCTCTGATATTAAAATGGCGGATGTACAGAGCAATGAGCGTAAAATTAAACTAACTAAAAACGGTAAAGTTGTGAAAAGACGCCTGAGAAATCCCGAAGGTATATTCCTAGTTTGTTTATTCTGCCAATCAGATGTTCCAGTTATTTTTTTAATTAATAATATTTACAATATTTTAATAAATAGTAAGTTCGCGGACAACACTTCTATTGACTCTTGTTACGTTTTGATACGTAGAACTTACGACTTGAATAAGTTGCAGCAGTAGTTTGAATTGTTTAAAAACATTTTTACATACTCAAGTGAATCAATTTTGTCCATTGCATTTATATTCAACGCTGGAACACGTTTTTACTTAATTAATATTATTTTGAGATTCCTATGATTTAATAAATGTATTTTATTGCACTTTTTAGAATGGCACAAACAAAAGCAGAAGCGTTTAAGAATAGCAGGTCTAGAATATATAAATGCAAACGGCAAAGTTGTGCCACCAAAACAGCCTGGGCCAGATTGTAATTGTCGTAGACAATGTTTTCAAAAAGTACCAGAAGATGTTCGTAGAAAAACATTTCAAGGTTTTTACTCAATGAAAACCCACGATGAACAAAACGCTTACTTATTTGGGCTAATGCGACAAGTGGATGTAAAACGAAAAAGAGTAAAGTCTAGTAGTAGGAGAACATGCACTTTTGAATACTACATACGAGTCAGAGGAAAAGAAACCCAAGTGTGTCAAACTGCTTTCAAAAATATACATGCTATAACTGAGAGGAAAGTTAGAGTTCTATGTAAGAAAATGGACGATGGTATCATGTTTCCTAGTGATAATAGGGGAAAGAATAGCCATAGACGTTCAGGTGAAGTAAGACTTCCTACGGGAATAGTAGATCAAATAAAAAATCATATTTATTCAATTGTCCATACTCATAGACTTAAGGACTTTATAAGACTTGATAAAATTGCTGGTCTGGAGATAAACATCTCTAAAATGTGGAAAGACTATATAAAGACATACGATCCAGATAATATAACAGCTACTATGCCAAAATCTAAAAGAAATTTGGAAATAGTTCCTAACAAAAATGAAACGCCTCAACCTATTGCCCCAGCCCCAATACAACAAGAGACTTATACTTCTTTGGCTTACCCTGGCAACGGCCATTTAGTGAATTTAGCAGAAAATTACTTTGATGGCAATCAGTACCAACAGCAGTTGACTGCAGCACCAACACCTACAAACTTTTATCCTGCCCAAAGTGGACAGCATCCACAAGGCATGGGTATTATACTGCAGTCGGTTAACCGGCCACCGCAACCGACTGCATTTATTTTACTACAAACAAAACCAGAACCCTCCCATGATAAACTTGCCCTAACAAACAATTCATACAATGATCCTATAAGTATAGAAATGTCTCAAACTCCAGTTAAGTCTAAAAAACAGAAAAAAGAGCGAAAGAAAGGCCCCGTAGTAAAACAGTGGAGGTACAGCAATATTTTTCATGATGAAATTAATGGAGCAGCATTGGCAGCAATCAAAACGAGGCTGGGTATGTACTATGCAGAAAGTGATGCTGCTAGAAAAAAAGCAAAACAATCGACAAGCCCTCGGGCACAAGAAACTGTACAGACACAAACTGAACTGACTGTGAAGGCAGATCAAGCTACAATGTTAAGACCTCAGCACCAACTTAGAGCCACCCATACGTTAACTATATTTACATAAGTACTACATATTCATGATCTAACAAGTAGCTTAGCAGCTTAGTATCAGTAAGCTCAGTAAAACTAATTTGTAGTTACTGTAGTCAATATACGGACTGTCCGTAAATTAGACACTAATGACTAAAGTTAAGAAACACCAAGTAAGTGGCTATACTAGCATTATGTTTTTAGAAGTGTTCTATGAATTACATGTGTAATTTCTTATGCTAAAATCATATTTAATCAATCTTATTTATTATCCACAACTCATTATGCCGATTTAATAAATTACATAATTTATAAAATGGTATTTTATTTAACCAAACTTAAAAGTTTACAATAATTTATATATATATCATTTATTTAATTTATATATAAATTATTGTAGCTAAAATAAAAGATATATATGATTTTCTTAACTTTATTTTTAACTTAATTACGCTGATAGAACACAGACCCCACCGACAGACTTGATTTTCTTTTCAGCAGTCTTAGAGAAGAACTTTGCTTTAACTATGACCGGCTGTTTAGGGAGTTTGCCTTTGCCTAAAAGCTTGTAGTACCCCTGCAAAAACATAAAATGAAAATGAGAGAATTTTAAGATTAAAATATACTTCACGGATGGTAATTGATATTGGTGCAGAAGAACAAGTATATTCACTGTGCAGTCATATTAAGCACTTAAAGATGTCATCTAAAAGACTAAGGAATATATTTTTTAGAGCCATAAAACCTATTTTATTAACTTATCAACTCACAGCTTTAACAATGTTGATTACTGGAACTTTACCATCTGTAACATTAGCATACTTGAGCCTGGTCTGCTCAGAGACAAGGGTCCAGAGTTTATCCAAATTTAGTACAGGGCAGAAGATTTTATTTCTCCTCAAGTGGAAATTCCTCATACCAAGCTGTAAAGTAAATATAATTCAGTATAATGATATTACATTTACACAATATATTCTACTTAAGAGTAACAAAAGTATTTAATTTTAATTAAATAACACTGCCACACTAGATGTTACTTCAAGACATACCCTGTACAACATCCTCCTTAAAGTAAGTGCAGACTTTACTTCCTAACCTCTGATAGTAGTAGTGCTAGATGCTACTAATACTATAAAAGTAATAAATAAATTTCACGGAACAAAGAATGTGTGAAATATGAAAACAAGTTTTAAGGTTTTACCTTTCCATAGTACCCAGGATGGTACTTGTCCATATTAATTCTGTGGTGGTGCTCTCCACCAGCATTTCCGCGACCACCAGGATGCTTGCGGTGCTTACCTGTAAAAAAATATCGTAGGTCAAATACTGTCTATAGTTTACGGGAGTAGTACAAAGTTAAATCAAAACACTTTAACGGTTTAAAACGCGATATATTAGTTAAACTTAGTGCAGTTTAGTGCAAGCATCCGAAACGTCGGGCCGAAGTTAAAAGTCATTTTCAAATAAGTTTAACTAATATATTACTTTTAAACCTTTAAAGTGATTTACTTAAAAATCGTAAGTCACTTTTACATTGCTAAACATTGAACTTATAACACTAAGTTTTGTAGAAATAGAAGACATGAATTAACTATTTTAATCATTTATTGATTCTAATAAACTGAAGTACAACTCTAAAGTACAAACAAAGATAACAACTCGTTAATAATGTTGTTATCCGGCGTATAACGTGGGTATGTTTAATGCTATTTGGTACAGTAGGTGGCAGGAAAAGTTTAAAACCCTAAAAACTATATTTACGCGATGCATAATTACGTACCGATACGACCATGTCCATGGCTGACATGTCCTCTCAACTTCCTAGTCTTCTTCTTTGAGGTGGCCTGCAGAAACAGTTTAAGGTTAACAACAAATTTTACTATCGAGTAAATTTTAAACAAAATTTAGTCAAAATTGACACAAATGTATGGGTCACTTCACGATTTTACACAGCATTACAAGTATTTTAAATAGATTGTTGAGAAATTATCGGATAAAACATAATTGTAAACACGAACCATATTTACGGCTATCGGGAAGGAATTACAAAAGAAAAGGAATAAAACTTATCATGCGTCAATGTCAAAAAACTACAATTGTCAATGTGGTTGTCAAAGTTTAACAGAGTATTATTAGGTTAGGACTTAATAAATAATAATTTAAGGGAGAATCCAGACTGTCATAAAACATTATATTTTTGTAAGTAATACGTGTACAAGTTTTACATAAAGAAATAGGGTATATATAGATTTTTTTCGAATTTAAGCCCTCAAAGAATATTTCACTGCTATTCTAAAGGAATCATATAATTTTCTAAAGGATAAGGTATGAAAGAATAAGAAACATTCTTACACATCCACCCATCCTCGCAATCTTTTACATTTATAATATCAATGAAGCAAGAATTCCGGATTATTATACGTAGTCGTTTAACGATATCTGTACCGTGACAGAAAAGATTGACTAAATCATCTTTGAAAAATAACTGTTATCTGTATGCCGTGTGACATACTGGATAGTTAATGTTTCTCAGTTTCACAGACAGTTGAACCATGACGTCATTTTTCAAGAGTGTTTTCTTAAATGAACAAAATAGTCTGTGCTCACGACTCAGTACGTTTCCAGAAAATGGTTGGGTTGTTTGTCGAAGGTTGACACGTAATTTCACTTTAATCGTAAATATTTTTGTTAAAAGTTTATCATGTCTTTAATTCGACTGTAGCATTTTGTTTAGAAACATTAAAAATGGAGTTTCGCGAAACGCTGCTAGCTGCGCAACGTAATCAACAAGAAAAATCTTCTGTTGTGAGTTTTTAGGACATAATTTGATATATAAAACTGTTTTCTGCCAGTACAATAATGTAGCAATTCCATTGCACAAGACAGAAATTGTCGTTCCAACCGCAAAATACAACATACATTGTTGTATTTTGCTCATTCCTCTGCTAATGAATTCCTAATACATGGTGCCTACAAGATGTTTTCATATATGTTGTAGAAAATCGTATGAAACCTATGTTTATACTTTATCTCCTTGAAAACAATTGTAGGGACTGGTCAAGAAATGTTTTTGTTTCTCATTTTTGTGATTATATTTTTTCAGGGTAGTTATTATTATAAAGCAAAATTTGATCCTCCCAAGAAAGAACAAAGAGAAAAGGATCGATTATCAGCCAACATCCAAAAATTCCTAGCAAAAAAAGATGAAGAAGAAAGACAAAAGAAGTTAGAAACCCAACGTAAAAGAGAGGAATTACTTGCTATGCGGGATCCAAAGGTACACATGGCATGTTGTAGAATTCTTTATGCTAACTTTTAAGAACAACAAATGCATGAAGATGAGTGTAAAAAAGATGAAAACTTTAAAATGTATCTTCTAAAGACCAAAAGTCAACCGCTCAACCTGTGTTATTAAATAAAAATTGATATATGTACAGTTACAGCTGTATGGTGATAGTGAAAATTGTTAACCCAAAAGTATTTTTTTGTCAGTTATTTACTCGGCTCTATCTGAACAATTAGGATATATAGGTTTAACAACATTTTATTATTAATAATTATAAATATACTACTCTATTAACCTCAGTAGTTCAGTTCAAAATACAAAATATATAATCATAATAAACCTGTACAGTAATGAGTTACCTAATTATTTCTAGGCTTTACGGAAAATTCAGAAAACCTTAAAAGTAATCAAATCAGCAAACAAATCGGTGATTGCTGATGCTATCGATAGAGACCACACTGCTGTTACTCGTGAGGGTCCAGATCAACCAGACCAGGATGACTATGGTTATGAATCCCAGTCTGCTGCTGCTATATATGAGAAAATGATGCAGAAGTATAGCAAAATGCCTGATGAACCTAAGTTTCCTTTGTCAAGTAAGGCACAAGTATTTTATTATGATAAATTTTATCTTTTAATAATATTAAATACCATAAAATACAACAAAAACATTGTATCCATAATCTAATAAGGCCCTACTAAAAATTAAGGCATTTAACATCAAGGTTGAAAGAGTGTGATCATGTTAATGTATTATGATGATAACACATTAATGAAATATATCCAGATAGTATGAGCACCAAGGATTTACATGGAACAAGAGAACGGGTAAAACACGCTCTGCGACATGAAGATGATCCAGTGCCACATAAAAGGCGGCGTCGCACAGACGGAGGTATTATATTGTTATATGTAGTTTTATCAATACAACAAACATAATAAGGATAAAATAAGCGTACCAATCAGAAGGCTCCATGAAAGTAGTAACGCTTTTCAAGGTCCCCAGTGACATTTAAGCACTGTTAACAACTGGTAATATATAATGGACACATAAGCTTAAATTGCAAATACAATAAAAACTGCTTGGAAAGGGTTATAATAGCGTAAATCAATTATACGATTGTATATTGATAAGAATGAGGTGATAGTCAGACAATGTGATTTAAAAAATATGTACATTTCAAAACAACTTATATTTTTTTAAATCAAAGATTCCAGCCCACCACAAAAATATGAACCTGAGAAGGAAAAGGAGAAAAAAATGGAAAAGCCAAAAATACGGAAATCAGCTCCTCCACCAATGGATTTTAATCAACTTTTAAAGCTGGCAGAACAAAAGAAAAGTGAACCACTTGAAATTGGTGGAACAAAAAAGGCTGTTACTGAATCAGAACCTGAAAGGTTGATGACTAAAAAACAGAAGAGAGAATATGAAGAAGAAATGGCAAGAAGACAAAGAAGGCAAGAACGAATTGAGGCTGAGAAGACAGGGAAAAAAGGTAAGTATTTTGTATTCAACTTTAATGTAGAGATTTATCCCATGCATTTTTAATGCAACCTTTTTTTTATACCTTCAGCCGTGAGAGAAGAAAAGCCATTAGAAAAAGAACGAGAACGTAAACCAGATGTAGCTTCAACTGGTTTTGGAAGAATACCAAAAGTAGGTGAACGAATTTCGCAAAAAACGGAATCCCCTAAAGTACATGACAGAGAGAAAAAAGAAAACGATCGAGATAGACTACAAAGGGAAAAGGAACGAGTTAGGTTAGAAAGGGAAAAAATGGAACGCGAAAAGGAAAGAATAGATAAAGAAATTTTAGATAGATTGAAGGCAGAAAAGGATAGAATCGAAAAACAGATGGAAAAACTAAATAAAGACAGAGAGAGATTAGATAAAACCAAGGCAAAACTAGAAACCACTTCAGATAGAAGCAGAGATAAGTCCAAAGGTAGCAAAGAGGTTGCTGTAAAACAAGAAGTCAAAAAGAATATAGATTTAAAGAGTCAAAACACTTACAGGATAGAGAAAACCTTTAATGATAAAAAGTCCGTGTTGCAAAAGCAAGAAAGACCTAATGGCCACAGCTCACAGAGCAAACCCGTGCCAAAACTTAGTAAAGACAGCTTAGATAGAAATATTAAAGATAAAGTTGTGTCGGCCAAGAAGCAGTTTGATGGTAGCCCAAGGAATGGTAACATTAAAGCTGATAATGGGAAACGCCTACCGGAAAGTAGTGCTAGCAAATCATGTTCTAAGAAAGTGGACGAAAGAAAGTCTGTACAGAATGGAATAAAGCAGAGCGGTCCAAGTAAACAACTCACAAATGGATTTGATTTTGATAAACATGTCAATTCAATAAGTAGGAAAAAAATGCCTCCAGGTGATATACGTAGGAAAGCACCAGTTGATGATAGAAGAACACAAAAACGTAAGCTACAGCAATATATTAATTATGAATATTACTATGAAATGATTTATATGTTTAAATCTTCGCACTCTTGGTATTGCAGGCCGTATGGTCGACTCTGATTCCGAATACGACTCGGAGATGGACGATTTCATCGACGACGGTGATGCAGACCTCGACTACTCGTCCGCTATCAAAGAAATATTTGGTTACGACAAATCTAGGTAGGGACTAGTTCTAAATGCGTACCTGCGTGGAGTGATTTTATTCTATATTATAAATCGACGATTATTTTAACTCTAAAATTATTTCAGGTACCGCAATATGGATGATGACGATGACCCCTCGATGGAGTCGAGTTTCGCGCGCCAGCAGCGCGAAGAATATATTAGTAAAAAGATTGGTTAGTGTTCTCCTAAAGTTCGTTTAAAGCTTTCTCGGCTATTATACACAACAAACACTTCGGCAGTTCTCTTTTACGACGACCAAACGTTTCGAAAACCCAAAATACTTTGTATTGTACTCGCTACTTATATTCATTACTTTTGTGTATCGACCGATTTCGTAACCTTTGCAGGTATCATGGAGGACTTGGAAGATATGAGAATGGAAGCGATGGAAAAAAAGAAAAAAGGCAAACGACGGCTTTCCGACGATTAACACGAACGCAGTACAACCTGGACCAAGTTTTTGTAATATCTCGACTGTAGTTATTTATGAGTTATAGTGATCTACTTGCTCACATCTCTAAAATACTTCACAAGTGTATGTGGAGTACAGGTCACTTTGTGATAGTGAACAGTGTTATAGAACACGAAGGGATAACGGTCTCAGAAAACAATAGTTCACAAACTTTACAATGATTTATATTGTGTTGATAAACGATTATGTTACATGTATTGTAAACATTTGATATACTTTGAGCTATGTCAATGGACTGCATTCGAGAGTAATGGATCAATACTTGTTGTGCATATATTATGTTTGTAACACAGCAGAAGACATATACTTTTTAATGTATTAAGCGTAACAATATGTTTTTAGACGTTATGTTGTTCAATTTGGCTTTAGCACAAAATTTCTTATTTTATTTGTTAATAGTGAACCATTTTTGATAGTTATTATTTATGTTGATAATACAAGTATGATTTCTTGTCAGATTTCTCTTTTGGGTCTCTTTGTTCTTAGTGTGGCTATTGGTTGATTTAGCATTCTAAGTGACATTTACTTCTTGCATTGTCACTTTTCTCCTCATCAAGAATATTTCCTAAAGTATGATTTTAAGTGCGTCTTTATCGCCTTTAAAAAGATACTGGATAATGTCTACGAACCTGATATTTCTTAAAGAAAATCGCTGCAATGTTGTTAAATAATGCAGATTTTAATGTTTACAACTGTAAGAAACTTATCACTATCAAAACATCTTATTCATTTATATAACATTGCTTTTGCAAGTACTTTATTAAAAAACATATATAAAGAATTATTGTTAATAATAATAATTATTGTGATTACAACAAGCTAGGAAAATACAAGGAATTAAAAGTTTTTATTGATGAAACTAGTTTTTATTTGCATAGAATTTGTAAAAATGATGAGATGTGATAAAAGACCTTTGAAGAAGTCTTTTTCACAAAGTAATATAGTAATGTGTATACCTATGGTCTAAAATATTTTTAAATATAATCAAAATATATGTATATACTATTGAATATTGTGAGTTTGTATAGTAGAATTAGGCTTTATTTCGTTATTTTGCAGTAACCTTAACCATTCATGACATGTTCCATTTGCAAGTCCTGCGGTAGCATTGACTCCTGCTCCTTCTGCATTTCTTGTACTTGTAAATATATAGGCATTCTTCCGCTTCTTAACTTTTCTCTCTTGTGTACTTTCAACTGATGCTTCATCATTTGCTTGCGATAACCAAATGCTTTGTTACATATATTACAGATATGTTCCTTGATGCCTGCGTGGTCTACTTTAAAATGCAATTCATAAGTTTTTTTCAAATGAAATCCCTTTCCACAAGATTCACATTTGAATTCATAACTATCCCTATGGGTTAAACTATGTTTATTTAAATTACTTTTAGTAACAAAACGAGATGAACATTGTGTGCATTGATATGGTTTATCTCCTGTGTGAGTCCGCATATGGAGTTTTAGCGACTCTGTGAACCTACCCCTGTAGGGGCATAGACTACATTTATAGGGTAGGTGATAAGAGTGTGTTAGCCTATGTTTCGTAAATTCTCCTTTAAAAAATGAATGTTTACCGCAGATATCACAAATAAACTGTGTTTTGTTATGCATAGATAGATGCCTTTTGAAATATATTTCTTTGTAAGTCTTATTGCAAATGGGGCACACTCGTTGAGCGTTTTCATGAAATGCAGATATGTGTTCTGAGTACTCTTCGAAAGTAACAAAAGATTTGTTGCATCTTCCACAAATATAATTTTGTGCAGACGTTTTAGTTTGTTCCTCATTTAAGTCAGACTCGTAGGTGAAATTATCGTCGTTAATATCATCATTGGGGTGTAGAGGAGATTCTCGTAGTATTTTGGCAGCTTGTTGTGCGGCTCTCCGAAATTGTACAGCGCTTTGTAGTTGGGAATGACATTTGTAGCATAGAAACTTAGGAAACCTATCGTCAGGATCAATTTCTACATCCGCAAATGTTCGTAAGTTCTCTGAAACATCGTCAGACAAAAGGTTTCCGAATATAGGAATATTACCATCTTTGAGGCATACTCTACATTTTAGCTCACTTTCTTTTTTTATCTCCGTGTATTCCCTTGAGTCTTGACTAATTACGGGTTCTTTTTTTGCATTACGTCGTCGGTGGTGTAAAATTTTTAACAATAATAGCTTTCCAACCATCTCGTTTTGATTTGTTTATTTTGCTGATGTGTTCCACTTAGTTCCTGATGGCACAAAATCCAGTCTTTTAGAGATTGTTTAATAAATTTTTGATTAGAAAGTAAGTTTCAATTTTGTATAAATATTATCTTTACTACAAAATTACAATAGAGCACTGCAAGTGCAATACAGCTGCTTCACACAGTCAACACCCTAAGATTCCTTTATAAGTGTGTAGTCCCGTGGCACAGTCAAAGATCCAATAAGAACTATTATATATTATAATAGTTCTTATTTGATCTTTGTATTATATTTATATATATATATTGCGGTAACATGAAATTTTTATATATTTACTCATTCATTATTTTTTTTATTTATCTATTAAAGTAATATACTTTTTTCTTTCAATATTGTAAAATAATAATGATGTCAATTTTGTTTATTAAAACTTTCTCTAAAGATTTGACTGCCTTAAACTAGCAACATTAAGAGCACTACTTCATAGACTTGGCGACACAAAACATGACATATGACATAAATCGTGCGTTATATATAGACTCCTTGGAGACATAAAATCAAATAAAATAGTCTACGCTAGGCATAAGGCAACAAAGTTGTCTACTTGCAAAATTTTTAATTACGATACAAAATAGAATAGCGGAGAGCCCATTGTTGGACATTACATTACTTTAGAGTTTACGACGCAACGTGGAACACGAAATTTACTTAAAGGTAATATTTTTTAATCTTAAAAGTGTTTATGATGTTTTTCATAATTTATTAAGCCTTTAACTAATTTTATTGAGATCTTTCTCATCATTTCAGAGTGAATACTTTTTGAAATTCGTCATATTGATAGAATATTATATATTTGTTTTGCCAGCCATGAAGCTAATCACAAATTTAAGTGAAATACCTGAGTTAAATCAACCAAATGTTCACATCAAGAATAGGGATGGGCTATTGGAAAAAATTAACAGAGTTCTTCGGGATGGACATAGCAAGCTTCAAATTGTTACTGATTTTGACCACACATTAACGAGGAATCAACTGGATAACGGGAAAACAGTTCTGACAAGTTTTGGTGAGTAGACATGAAAAATTTACTACTTAACTTTCATATTGCATCCTCTCCAATGTGATAAATAGGCCAGTGTACTAAACTAGTTAGTATTCATTGCATCTAGCATATGCCGTTCAAATTGTGAACTTAATAATCTTAAAGAGAAAAACTACTAATTGTATATAAATATAACATTTTATAATTTAATACAAAATTCAGTTCAATTTCAACAGTAGTTAATATTCCAAAATCGTGTGTTCTTCACATTTCATATGTTTAAATAATAATTATTTATTTTGCATGTATGTCAATTTGTTAAATTAGATACTTATCTTATCATACTTTTTGAAACTCAAAGTCAATTCAAGGTCAAAATTACATAGTATAATGTATATTTCTAAGAAGATGATTCTTGTATGGATAGCATAATTGTTTAATAGCCTTATAGAATTGCTAACAATTATTCTTCTGTTTACTATAGTAATTACCCTAACAATATAGCAATTATAATTAGTGTATCTATGGTTTGATAAGCTAATGTTTATATATGCCTAACTGTTATTTATTTACTTAAGTAGCAAACAAATTTCCCATTTATATTCTTGACATGCCATATTTATTATAACGTCTCTTAAGTTTAAGGTACAAATATTGAACACACACATCCTTCTTTGTTTGACTTCTATTGATTATTTTATTTAGAAAGCAATTGATAAAATAATGTATATTTTAATGTCCATATTACAATTTAAAAACACAAATGAAACAGCCTCTTATTTTTATTGGACAGGTATGCTTAAAGATTGTCCATCCATACCGCAATATTATAAAGATGAGGACAACAGGCTGGCCAGCATTTATAAACCAATTGAGGTTGACCATATTATGACAAAGGAAGAGAAAACCAAACATATGATTGACTGGTATGTTGCGGCTCATGAGTTGCTTATGTAAGTATAAACTTTCTCAATATTAATTTTGAAAATATAGAACTCGCAGACCTTAGAACCAGGAATATTTTCATCCTGCATAAGTTTGCTCTCCTTAAATATTACATTTCAAAATTTTAAATAAAATGCAACTTTATTACAGAGGTATGACGTTTCCTCGGGAAGAGCTAATGGAAATTAGTCGCAAAATGGTGGATTGTTTTAGGTTAGTTAAATTGGCTATTTTTCATTTTTAATTTCGACATAATATATCGACGGGCTCGTTGTGTAATCCTAGCAATGAATGACTAATAATCAACGGGCCGTGGGTTCAATCCCCACCAAGTCCAACATTTTTCTAATCAATCTATAACTTTTTTGTCTAGAAATCTAGATATTAAATCGGCGGTAGAATTTTCCAAATTAATTATAATTTTTTCATCATGTGCAATGCCATGTGAAAAATATTCATGTTTTCAAATTCTATTATAAAAGAAAAATAACTTTAAGAATTGGCGTGGACGAGCTCATTGCATGGAGCAAAGCGCACTGCATTCCTGTTCTAGTCTTCTCTGCTGGACTCGGAGAGTGTGTGGTGGCTGCGCTAGAGGCAGCCAACTTCCTTTTACCTAATGTCAAGGTATAATTGTATTAGTCTTATATTTACACACACACACAAATATATGCTGCCATTACAGACAGATAATCCAATTCGACAGTAATACACGATATAAAAAAATAAATATGAAAACTAAGTTTTAATAATTATTTTCATTACTTCTAGTAGTAATTTCGTTAAGAACAATATTCGCTATTTCACTCTGATACCCCGTGAAAATGTCAACCCTTTGGTGTACAATATTAACCGCTCTTATTGTTTGCGTGATGAGCGCCCTGGCCATCAGTTGGAATGCGCGAAAGGCACAACCAGCAACGGTGGATGATGCCGTTTTCCCACGTATCCGTCCGGCACACTGAAGTAAGGCCAGTGCAAAACAACAGCGTTATGTTCTTTACCCCGAAGAATTTTTATTAAATACGTCGCCAAAGAAAATCCTCTTCTCTATATAGATTAGCGTGCTTCTTTCATACATGTTTTTGGTTTTTTTCAACCCACCAATTTTTTTTTGTTTTTTCCATATTTCCTTCTGTTTCTTTGTTTAATTCTCAACAACCACTATTCCAGGTGATATCTAATTTCTTGGCCCAAGACGAGAGCGGAACCATAACGGGCATTAAGGGTGAAGTGATCCACACCTACAACAAAAACGAGGCCGCTATCAAGAACACGGAGTATTACGACATGGTGCGAGAGAGAAACAACGTCCTTCTGTTGGGAGACAACATCGGCGACGCGGCCATGGCGGAGGGCATGGACCACTGCGACGTCGTCATCAAGGTCGGGTTCCTCGGGAGGAACGTGGACGGAAACCTGCAAAACTACCTCAACACCTTCGACATAGTCCTCGTCAACGACAACACCGTGGACGCCGTGAACGCCATTTTGAAACTGATGCTGTGATTTTTCGAATTTTGCATAATAAGACATAGCTATACTAATAGTGCTCGTAGTTTAATAGGAAAGGAATGTCTATACTCATCTATGTCTCGACGCTAAAAGGGTTTCATATCAAAGGTTATATAACAAGTCTTCGAAAATATTTACCGTTTTTCTATGTATTTTGTTTAAGGTTATCTTCGTGTCTTTCGACTTAGTATATGATGTTACGTTGTGTCCGTCGGACGAGATATTTATTTTTGTTAATTGTTTAAATGTTTGTTATGAATTGCCAGGCTGAACGATTTTCATTTGATATGTATATCTGAAAATGCAATATTTTCTTTATATTTCATGTACAAATAGTGGCTGTATTTTAAATACGAATCCAAAGAGTTATTGTGGATTTTATTTTATAACTTCTATTAAAAACGATGCTGCCTCGAAGAACTCGTTACTACAGGATAGATATTTGTAGTTTAGTTGAAATTTTTTAGTGTTTATGACATTTTTATAATAATTTGGTAATAAATAAAACAATGTTTAAAAAATTAAATATTTTGTTAATATTTTAAAACAACACTTTTGGATAAATGTATTTTCTAGTCATCACTGTGCTCCACTGTGCCGTCTAACTAATGTGATATGGCGAAAAGGAAATTTGGAAGAGCGTAACGACCGCTAAGAAGCAAATAGTTCAATTCAATCGATAACAACATTACAATGCAACAATAAATTTAAGAAGACGAACGTAAAATATCAAATGCTGCGTAAAATACTAACATTCGTTGACGCGACTAGGTTACAATAATTTAAATACTCTAAATAACGCGAATATTTCCTAAATAATACGGCGGTAACTAGAACGAATTTTTCGAAACACGATTCTCTTGTCGCAAACGATATCATCAAAACTTTATAAAACTTACAATAAATACCTGTGCAAATAACAGGTGTCCAACAGTATAGATTACGAATACGAGCAACGGGAGTTTAAATTATCAATTTATAGTGACTCATCGTCAGTGGCATATGGCAAGAAACACCTTTTATTCTTTCTTTCATTCGACGCATTCGGTGTTTACAGTCAAACACTGTGAGATCTGACGTAGATCTCCGATTGTCGAGTCTATCGAATGACTGGAAAATACAAAGGTCAGCGACGCATGCGTTCAATTTAACTCAACAAATTAAATGATCTAAATAATCAACAGTCTTAAAACATACAGTTATTTACACAAATATTTGTTAAATATAAAAATATCCTACTGTACATATAACAATACTTGTCCATGTAGAAATATATATTTTATCTATGTACAATAACTAGAAACAGTATTAAAAATAGTCAAATCTTTAGGAATCGTATAGTTGAAGGCAAATATTTGGGCGTGAAAGATGCACTGCACACAGTTAATACGAGGGGTAACCGCCTACTAATCTTAAGTACACACCTAAGTATTCCACGAGTGAATCGCAATGTGTTTTATGCAATGGCTCTGCGTGAATATTTTGTAATTGTCGGCCCCTCGACGTTGCCACGACCGACCAGTGCAAGTTTCACTTCCAAGCGGGCGCGGCCCGAACATCGCGTGCAGTCTATATGAAGGCAAGTACGCACCGGAGGCCGAGAAAAGACGACCGCCACTGTCCCTTACAAAAATGCACCATCTATTCACTCTTACTCCCTGAACTCCAACAAAAGCCGAACGACGGCTCGTGAGAATTCGAATAAAATATGCCTCGTGCGCGTGCGCCGATCTCAAGCTCGATAGTAAATAAGAATACTGAATCCGACTCGCGGTTTCCGGTCAGACGTCGTCCTTGGTCCCGCGTTTTCATTACATAAAAGCACGATAAACAGTCTCAGAGTACACGATAATTGTATCGCCAGATCACAGCCCGGGTGAGGCGCGCAACGGAGACGCCGGAGGGGGCGCTCGCCGTCACGTGATGGCCGCCACGTCGGAGTGGGTCTTTTGCAGGCCGTCTTCGTCGGTCGATCTGAAGCGAACAATGCGAATATAATACAGTAAAAAGACTTGAAGAAATGGCACAATAGAAATGTCCGAAAGTGTGAATACCTATAGACGTGTGCAGATGCGGTCGTGGTGTGGTAGTGCGCCGCGTAGGGCAAACGGGAGCGCGCGTGTCGCCGCCGCGCCTGCACCGCCCGCCCCACCGCGTCCGGTCGAGACGAATTGCGGATCGCGTGGCACGCCAATCTGTCGACGTCGTATTATGCCATTTGAAGAATAATATTCATTTTATAAGTTTTTTAATTTTATAAAAACCAAAAAGAAAAAATTTTATTACGTATTAACTTATGAATAAAAGGCGGCCTCATATACTAATATATAAAGCTGAAGAGTTTGTTTGTTTGAACGAGGTAATTTCAGAACCTACTAGTTCCAATTGAAATTATTTTTGAATCGGTTAGAGCATTTATCGAGGAAGGCTATAGGCTAAAATATCGCGCTGTGGCTAATAGGAGCGAAGAAACAGCGGAAAACATGATTAAAAACTGGTTAATTATTGAACCTCTCTTATTCTCAAAGTTACCTTTCACAAAGATACCGCCCGCTGCAAAATCGGTTCAAGACACCCAAAAAATACGTATGAAAGAATGATTCCTCTTTCAATAATCTAAAAAATGCAAGAACGACGGGACGCGATCGATGTCATGGATAACAGCTTTAATTAGTAAGGTTCAACAGTAGGTTAGGTTTCTACGGGGACGAAGTCACTGACACAGCTAGTCGCTATATAAGCACCGATCTTTTTCAGGCGACCTCAAGTACAGGAGAAAAAGATAAAAGGACGTTATCGATATAACTTTTGACTTTTGGGGTCATAGAGGACACGGTAGAGGGGATGACGCAGATGGGAATTCCGACGAGTTAGGAATAATTAATTAATATGAATCATAGACACTGTTTGACCTTAAGTGCATTATTATTAAATTATTATTTTCTATAGGGCATCGGTGGCAAGCGGGGTTATCAGTTCACATTTTCTGCTGATCTGCGATCATTCCACGTATTTCCCAGTCTCTCCTTACGGAGGAAATCTTAAGTGTACGATAAGTTTTATTTATAAATAAATTTGTTATTCGTAGCTAAGGACAATGCGTCAAAGACGAAATTCCTGAATTCGAATCACGAGAAAATCTAACTATGCAAGGGACGGACAATATTTTTTACATGGCACCATATATAATACAAATCTAATTAGATCGAAAAAAATGAAGACACGGGCGGGACTTGAACTCGCATCCATAGCGTTCCGTGCTGCTTCTCTAAGCAATTGCTACCGTGTATTTCACGTCGACGTCAATTTTCTTCAAACTAATGCTATCTTGCGACACAGCATCCAAACCATCTGTAAACGTCTGCTACTGAAAAGTAAAGGACGGGTTCTTTACCGTGGCGTCAGCGCAGTGACCGTGGTGAGCACGACGACGAGCCAGTAGATGGGGTCGGCGATCGCGTGCTGCAGCACCCTGAAGGTCGACGGCAAGTTGAAGCACGACACGCACACCGCTTGGTACACTAGCGTGAGCACGTAGAACGAGCCCAGGGACCCGCACAGGGCTATCACCTGGATCACCGTCTGTTTATAGGGAACTCTAATTAATATCAGAGTTGAGTGCATATTATATTTGGTGCAACGGTGCATGTGCCTACACAACACCACACACACTGCAAGTATTTTGATTCTAGTGATTGAAGAGATAAAGTAATTTGCATGTCTATTACTTATTTATACTGTTCCTAAAGTGCAATTTTCACACACAACTTACGAGTTTCATGTGAAACAGCTGCGTGGAATATTAATACTATATTATACTACCATAACGAAGGTAAATAGTTCTATACAAAAGCACTTTGGCCAGCAACAATTTAAAATATTTTTTTTTCTTCTTTGTGGTTAACGCGACACATGAAAAAAAAAAACACATCAAACTGCACGAAGCTAGAACCGAAACATCAGTTTTAAAAAGCTACCCCGCTTACAAAAATTAGTTTGCAAACAGATGGTGCTAGCGTAGCAGATTTGACTTGGGACATCTCCCACTCGTCGGTCACCCCTCGAATAGTGCTTGTATAAGTTAACGTAAAATTATGTTAATTAATACGTTTCCCGTTTAAACCCGTTAAAAGTGTTTAATTTGATTTTTTTTCTTCCATTCCATAAACATACACTGTACAACAATAAGCCCTTAGGGCTTTTGTATGTTATATTAAAAATAATAAAACTTGCCCAGCTCCTGGTCTCGATGGCGACGTACACGAGCATGACGACGAGACAGCAGGTCATGCAGCAGTTCCCGAAGGCCCAGATGTCGACGTCAGTGTCGTTGTAGGCGGCGTGCGCGCTGAAGAAGATCACGACGCTGATGTAGAGCGACTCGGCGAGCACCAGCCAATAGGAGTGCGCCCGATAGGCGAAGCCCCGTCGCGACGCGCTGTACAGGCCCGGCCGCTCAGTCAGAAGCGTCGCGGGCGCGACCCTGTCGTACGCACCTGTGAGATGGACACAGAAGTACATTATTACGCACTAGCGCTTTATCCTATTCTAGGCTAAGGAACTTTCAACCCTACAGCTGCAAAATAAGGTTCGAAATTCAATTTTTTTTTCTCAGGACTGTCGACGACATACCTGATATAACTTTAAATAGGTAAAAAACATAGGAAAGTCACAACATATAAAGTTATACAATTGCTGAGTGAAAACTTAATTACATTTATAACATTTTGAAAAATAGAGTATTACTAAGATATACAATTGTATTATTAAATATATGCACTTAAGGTTAAAATACAGAGTATAAATGAAACTGTATTTCCAGCAATTTCTTGTTTTGCAGCGCAAAATTAGGATACATTCAGATAATATAACAGTCAGATGCTGTTATAACAGCTGCAAAGCATCCGAAACGTCGGGCCGAAGTAAAAAATCATTTCAAATCAAATAAGTTTAACTAATATATCGCGTTTTAAATCGTTAAAGTGTTTTATTTAAATGTGTACTACTCGCGTAAACTATAGACAGGCATATCTAATTACAAAAAATATCTCACCGTCGTATTTGTATTTCGAAAGGACACTTTCATTGCTTTCCTAATTTAATATAAATGTGCAGGCTTATAACATAGCAATGTTTAAGTTTTAAGTATTATATAAAAAGCGCGCTGAATTGGATTACTTACACCATTTTTTTTGTAAATTATTTTATTATATATAAATAAGTAGTATTTCTTACCCATAATTATGGGAGGTACAGCAGTGAACATGAGGTTGTACGCCATGAGATGGAGCTGGTCGATCATCACGGACGAAGAGAACCCACAATATAGTTGGTACCAGAACACGAGGAACACAAACGTCTGGAATAGCACAATATAAATCAGTTAAGTAAGACCATAAATGACAGACGAGGACAGGCAAGCGAGATGTGTTAACGACCTTTATTGGCTCTGAACATTCATAGAACAACTGCATAAAATAGGTAGTAAGGTTTTATTCTGATAAAATATTTTTATCCAAGAATACAAAGAATTGCCTATAATAATTGTGTAACTATTTGATATCTAATTCGTTTTGGATCAATAGCTCATACTGACGGCGTTCTTTAGAAAGAAGTAGAGGATCATCCGAGCGAGGCGGTCGTAACACCAGTGGCCGTGGACCAGCAGCAGCCGCTCGATGAACTTGAACCGGGAGAGAGCAAAGTCCGATGCCATCACGGCCTGACGACCTTCCTGGCCGGATAGACCTGGAAATGCGTAAATAAATCTTAAACCGATTAACATATGCCTTACGCATTCTGTAGTAGAGCTCTCAAAGTCGTCTTACCGACTCCGACGTCTGCAGTCTGGATCATAGAGACATCGTTTGCGCCGTCGCCGATGGCGAGAGTCGTCACGCCCAGTTCTTCCTTTACAGCCTGGTGAAAGGGGTTGTAAGGAATATCAAAAGAGACTAAATTAATTGAAATTCACAGGACTCGAACCTACGTCCACAAAGTTCCGATCTCTAACAGATGAGTTACCGTGGCTAGCGATCTCAGCGTGCTTCGGATTTTGCTGCGAGTTCCGTACCATCGATATTATTCAATGTAAATTAGTTTTTAACTTCTATACAGCTATTATAAGCAATAAATGAAACACTATTAATAATAAAAGTTAAAAAAAAATTGTGTAATTTTTTTTATGTGCAGTACGAGGTAAGCAAGTGATGAGGACCACGGGACTTCACTTCCGTACCTTGACGATGTACGCCTTCTGAAGGGGCGTAGCGCGGCAGCACAGGACGGCGGAGCATCGACGCGCGAGCGACAGAAAAGGCGCCACTAGACCCGATCGCCGGTCCAAAATGTACGTCAGCGTCCGTCCGTCCACCACTAAAGCCCGACCGGCCCCGCCCTCCACCACGCCGCCCTCCAAGTAGCTCTTGATAGTGGATTCGGCGTGTTCCTGTAATTGAGAGAATTTGATTGACGGCACATTGACGGTACAAAATGCAAAAAGGCAATCAAAAAACCTGTCTGTATGGTGTTTTTTTGGTCAAGAGACCAAAGTCATTTTACAATATTTAATACTGTAAATTTTCATTATTTATCAAACAGCAACTGATCTCCTTCGTGCAGCGTTCAGCTGAGTCACAATTCCCGACAAATTTTAGTTTACGATTCTTTTAAGATAAATACTGTCTGTAGTTTACGCGGGTAGTACACATTTAAACAAAGCACTTTAAAGACGGTTTCAAACGCGATATACTTTAGTTAAACTTGTTCGAAAATTATTTTAACTACGGCCCAAAGTTTCGGATGCTTTGCAGCCGCCATGGTCACTGCAAGACTAAAGATGAAGGATGTCTCTAATGTACATATATACATATAAGGATATATTCTCTATAATTTCAAATAAGTTAAATTAACATATATCGCGTTGAAAACCGTTAGTGTTTGTTTTTATTTTATATTTGGATTTTTTAGTTTCTTTCTTCTTACCTTGTCCCTGGACATGAGGTGCAGCAGCCGGTCGCTCTGCGAGAAGAGCGCCGCGGAGTAGGCGATGTTGATGGCCGTCTCGGGCTTGTCCCCCGTGAGCACCCAGACCACGACGCCCGCGTCTAGCAGGGCCCGGACCGTGCGCGGCACATCCTCCTGCAGCCGGTCCTCGACGCCCGTCGCGCCCACCAGCGTCAGCGCGCTCTCCAGGCGAGCCAACGACTCGCGGATGCGTTTCTCCCTGCCTGCTATGGCAAAAGTTATTCAGTAGTACACTTTAAATCAAACATTTATTTTAATTACGGCCTGGAATTTGGAATGCTTTGCAGCGGTTTAGGTAGCCCTAATATCAAATCTGTCACGCCACTTGTTTCATCGTAGTTGATATTTGGAGAAACTGGCTGGCTCCTGGGACAGAATCGAATGACAATGTCCTCTCGTTTACTGCGTGCGTTACCGGGTGCCGTTTTGTACATCCAAAACATTAAAAATTTTGTAAACACAAGATTTTTGGCGTTTTAAGCCGTTAAAAGTGTTTTATTGAAAACGAAAATTGTTTTTGCGATATAAAACCGGCAATGAATGATAAATTCGTTTTTTTCGGACGCAAGTTACATATAAAAGGAATTTAATCAATCAACGCAACGTTCCGAGCGCATATACCCGTGCCGATTGCGCTATGCGGATTTGGCTGCCGTTCAAATTATTGAAAGGGATTTATTTACGAACGATATATTTGAAAGCCCTTAACAATTTCCAATGCAGTCTGAAGACGTAATTACCTTCGCCGATTTCCGACGCCCGATTGTGACTCGCCAGCCACTCTTCCCACAGCGCGGGCTGCATAGTCCGCTTGGCCATAACCAGCGTTCGGAGACCGGCTCTGGAGTACTCGCTCAATAGTGAACGAGTTCTCTCGTAAGCGGCCGACTCGGCTGAGCCGTTTCGCATCGGCGTTAGCGCATTGAGTACCGTACTATCCGCGCCTTTGACGTACAGCACCACCTGTAAATACATAATTACTTATTATGCTTCTTTCAATAACCAAAAAACAAATTCATCTTTTTTTAGATATTTATTTAATAACTAGCCGTGCCTGTGACTCTCAAAGGTTAACATTTCCCCTGCTTATTCTACATATGTTATATAGCCTAAAGCCTTCCTCAATAAATGGTATAAAGCAAAAAGGTTTTTTCAATTCAAAGTATTTCCTGAGATTAGCACGTTCAAACAACTCCTCACATTTATATATTAACAATACTGTTTAGTTTTCGTCACCTGTCCATTGGGAGTCCTCAGCGCTACAGACATACACTTCCTGTTCGAGTCGAACTGCTGCACTCGCAGCACTTTGAGCTTGCTGAGCTCCCCTCGCACTCCCAGTTCCACCTCGTCCGGTGACCGGCTCCGCAGCTCGTAACCGTACGCCAGCGCGGCTTCGGCTAACGCCAACTCGTCGGGACTCTCGGCTTCAAAACGCGCCAGCTTAAAGTCACGAACAAAATTAGCATTTCTTCTATATTCTTTTGGACACACAAAGTATTTTTTAAATATAAAAGTTTAAGGCTTTAAATCGCAAAATATACTTTCGCGTTTCGGATGCTTTGCAGCAGCGGTTGCAGTGGTTGCACCCGTGAGTTAATTTTAAAATTTTTATTTATATTTTCTTTCTATAAAAAAGAAGACGAGATAAATATAATGCCTGACAAAATGAAACGACTAGTATTTTAGTGACTGCATTATATGAAGAAGTATGTTTATCCACGTGAGTTTCAAATAGACATTGAATTCCTCATACAATGAAGCAATTAATTGAAGGTTAAATATTGAAGAATCGTCCATACTTGTGAACGGCTCTACGAATTCTTTACTATATAATGTTCTGTTTTATATAATTTCAGGTAAGACAAATTTTAAATAAAATAGTGTCGTAAGAACCATATTTATTTAAAAATTTCGCTTCCATATTGAGAGTGAGGTAAGATTATTGTGGGTTAATATATATATACTAATAACTACCTAAGAGTTAATATATGCACGATATGAACGTTTAACACCTACATCATTTGGAAATCGGAAAGCAAATAATTTCAACATGTTTTCGCATACAATTTTGAAATAGACGCGAAAATTTTCCGAATTGTTTTTAAAACCTCAAAGCCAGTAAAACCTTGAGTTTAATGTAACTTAAACGACTATAAAAGGTCGATGGCTCGCGTCAAATGTTAATTAAGTGTGAAAATCGCTTTTAATATTACCATCTTCGCGATAAGGCTGAATTTAGTTCATTTTTATTGTGGTTTCATGTTAGATGTGTGATACACCTTCTGAGGGAAATGACATTTAAACGAGCTTGTTGCTCCAATTGTCTAAGGCTTATGATCAATGCATAATGCCTTCGATACCCACCAAGATATTTCAAGAAACAAATTACAATGCTTAAGAAACATGTTACATTTTTACTTTGATGTCAGACACCTTCCATCTTTAGTCTCCCCTTGACCACGACTGCTGCAAAGCAGTTCAAAAAAGTTTAACTAATATATATCGCGTTTTAAACAGTTAAAGTGTTTTATTTAAATGTTACATTTTGTCCAGTCTCCGAAAGTGTAATATAATTTTGGTTCATAGTCGTTAGATTCCCAAAAGTCCAAACCCAAAATAGGCTGTGGGGTATTGTACCTCTCTTCAAGTGCTGTCATGTCACAGTTCATGTTTGTCTAAATTAAAATTTAAATCGTATAAAATATTTTGCTAGTATGTGTACAACTCGCGTAAACTACTTACTTGAACTTCCGCAGACGTGCTCGGTTCGCTGGAGTTGTCATCTTTACTTCCGAAGGGCAATTTGGGCAGTCGTATGCGCAGAGGCGAAGTGGTGGAGGGCGGGGGCGACGGGGTGGTCGATCTAGATTCAGTCAACCGAGCGTATCTGCAAGGAACCACTGCTATTTCACTGATATAAGATGTAATGGAGATCGTGACGTTACGATAAGATGAAGCGAGAACACTAAGTTGTGAAGTTTTTTGATCGCATTCAGTTACCTACACAGCGTTCGTCGCTTGTGTACAACGACCTGTAACAACCGGTAGGAATCACGTTAAAATTTAGAATTCAGGCATATGCTATACAAGTGTAGCTGACTTCTTAAAGAATTTGAAAATAAGAATTATTTTGTATATGTTTTTTATTCAAGTTGCGCAAGCTACTATATTTAATGTGCCAAGATGTTTTTTATTACAGTCGCAGCGGTTCTCGAGAACAGGATGTTATGGAGTCGAACAAACAAACTTTTCAATTTTATGTAGGTATGTAGTAAATACACACGCCGTAGCGAATACGTTCCAACAGAAAGAAATGGAAGCGGTTATAATAAATTGTGAAGTGAATACTTGATAACTCACGCTAAGGGCACCTGTTGCTCTATGATGACCGTGATTGTGGCTAATGGTTGAGTAAGGCAGAGGTCGCAAACGTACAAGCGATGTTTTTTTACCCGACGACGACCGTTTTGTCAGTCGTTGTATGTTTCATTTTGCGCTTTTCAAATATCGGGTTTAAACGAGGTGAACATTTAACGAAATATTATTCGAATCAATCACTATGTTTAAACAATTCTGCAGCTGGCACTAAGTTTTTCCGTCGCCGGGTTATAATAATTTAATGTATTTACAATGTACAATGATTTATCGAGATTATTTCGAGATTAAAGAGCAATAAGTGACATGCTTCGAAATGTGCTGTACATTGATAAGACTGTATTGATAAAAAGTAACCTTAGCAACGCCTCGCAGATTCTAACGCATACTTGAATCGCTATACTCCTGTGCACCAGTTTGGTTCGTCATGCGTAAACATTTAAATAAATTAAAACATTTGTGACGAAAACACCTTCATACCGGTGACAAGATATAACCAACAAATAGAGAGAATAAATACGAACTTATCGTTCGAGCGGAGCGTCCCGTTGGCTCTCGACGACTTCTGCTCCCGGAACTGATCGTGGTTGGAGTTGCTGAGAGAATCGACGTGCGGCTGGCTCACCACCACGGTGTTGCAGACGGCAAGAATCAATAGGAACTCTCGGACCTGCAAGACGACAACAATATATTGTCATTTCTAAAACTACCTATTTCTCCAATACTTACTCTATGTTATCCAAGACTGTGAACAGACGAAATACCTTATTGCACAGTTGAACTTACAATACACGTGTCACAAGTATCGATGACGTAGTGATGGCGTAAAGACAAAAATAAAATAGCTGAGAATAACCTTTTGCGTATGCTGTGCGTCGTTGCTATCGAGGAGATGCTGGAGCATTCTTCGGTTCGGCGACACTTTGGTAATAGGCGTGACGATCGGCGGCAGCTCCGTCGAGGGTTCGGCCTCGGGCCCGGGCGGATGGTCATAGTCCACCCCCCCGACCGTGCATCTTCTGAACACCATTTTGTTTTCAGTCAACGTTCCCGTTTTATCGCTAAATAAGTAACTAATTTGACCCAACTCCTCGGTGATGTTTAACGCTCGGCATTCCGTTCGCGTGTTTGTAACCGAATCGTACATCTCCACGTCCTGATGTATGTGATACACTTGAATCAGTTTCGTCATCTCGATGGTAACGTAAAGTGAGACGGGTATCATGACTTGCAGAACGATGATGTAAGTCCAGAATATGAGCAGGCCCTCGTACGCCGGCGGATCCGCGCGAGGTATGAACGGGGGTAACTTGTTGACATATGGGTAATAATTGTCGAACCATATTTTGCAACCGACGGCGCCCGCGCAGCAGAGAAACAAGAGCACCAAGACGCACCATATCACGTCTGTGTTCATTTTCTTCTCTAATTTGGAACACTTGTATCTGGGTCCGCCATTATTGAGCATAGCTTTCGTCTCGTGTCCCGCGTACACGACGATGCCTTCTACGTAGTCGGTGTTCTTGATCGTGCAGTCCCGTAGAAGGAGGTTATCGGAGTTCAGCGGAACCCTGTCGCCGTTCGGATGCGAAATGGTTCCGGTAAACCTGTATATCTTTGTGGACGGCCTCTCCACCTCGACGGTGCTCTTGAATTTCAACGGATTGAACTCGAGCCTCTGGAAAAGAGTAAAAGAGGTGAGTTTGCGAGGAAGCGGTTCTCACGAGTGTTCGATTCGGTGTTTAGATAACAAAGTCTACAGAAATTTTCACAGAGGCAAATATCGTGCCGAGCGAATTATGCAAACATCTTTTACGGCGACAGCGGAAGAATCGAGGTCAAATGTAGATTGGCTCCAGTTCAGTGGGCATCTGGTTGACGCTCTACATGCACAGTGGCACAATGGCCAATTTTAATCAAATTTTGTGATTGTTTCGATGCCGTGTAAATTGTGATCAGATTAGAAACGATCGAATCTAAGATTACAGATTGAAATACCTTCTCTTTAAAACCGGGTGCGACGATTCGTTGCTTCAGGTTGGTTTCGCCATCTAGATTGCACGTCTCCAGATAGCAGATCCCGAGCGGGTTGGACGAGTGTAATAGGACCATGTCCGCGGGCACTGGCTCGTTGTTGGAGAGGTGGATCAAGTCACCGACGCGCACGTCCTTCCATTTCAACCTCATGTATCTCTCCACTGACCTAACGAGAGACCATTTATGATTGATGCGAAGATGAGGCTAAATAAACGTATTATTCTGTCATTTGGCTAGTTTTATGGAAACTTCGAAGGACAGCATGAAACTGACGAATGCTTAATTACCAATAGCACTCAACGGTTTCAGCTGGTCAATAATGACCTAAAACTTTTTCTCGTACGCATTAGTATTTCTAGTAGTTTCCGTTCTGATACATACCAAAACCATAACGTTTTAATGGATTTTAATTTTTAATAATGAACCCTTAATAGCCCGAAAGAGATTTATTATTAAATGTTACTGTGTTTGCTAGAAGTTCTAATTGAAGGGAAAAATAGTTAAAAATCAAAATATTTATTTTACATACATATTTATTTAGAAAAGAAGCAAGTATCAATTATAATACTTCAGGCATAAAGGCCATAAAGAAATCAGATATACCTAGATATGAAATAATGTGAGTATAAAACAACAACAGAATATTATACAACGAAAAATATGTGTAGCCAACCTTTAAAAAAACGTTAAATAATAGCTTAAGTTACTGTTTATAAAATTGTCAAACGCGTTATTAGTATGTCAAAACACATTGCGACAGAAGTAAACTCTTTATGAAGCTATTGAGGGCAAACGTCTCAACAACAATGTTGGTGTTATCGCGTGGGCGAGGCTTTATCACTGAAAACTGAAGCAACAGGCGCCTTATACATCGGCACTCTATAAGAAATATTGTAGTTTCAACGGAATGATAACGATTAAATTTTAAACAAACTATAAATAAAATGTAATTACTTTAGATGACTGTTTATCCCGAAATACAATCAACTTAAGTCTTTAAGGAATAAATATAAAAAATCTCTAATAATTTTATTCTATTGGAAAATAAAAGTATTGATAAAGGAGTGTGTTTTGTTATACAACGTAACAGAATAATGAAGGAATTTTTATATAAGTATATTTTCATACATACTTTAATTTCGTTCATAAAAAAGATAAAAATGTTATCAGCGGTTCTAAGATTTTTTTTCCTCAAACCTACATTACCCGGTAATTTGTTTAAAAGTGTATTATTCTTAATAAAATAGTTTTTCCTTAAAATACTACTACTAATATACTGTTACTTTGTTTTCAAGGACCCATCGGACCAAGACGAATGGGAACAAAACATTTTTAAGATTTTGAGGCTATTAATAATTTAAATAACATAAATGAAGGAAGTTCAATAGAAATTTTTAGTGCTATTTAAAGTTAGTACTATTGAAAATTATGTTTAAAAGTTTCGTTTCCCCATTATCTCATATCGTGAGACCACAACGCAAGACAGGGACAGCGGAGAGAACCTCAAGAACCTATATTGTCTCCCTCATCGAACCTTTCGTTGAGTCATTATCGATTAAATTGCTAAAAACAAACAGTAATAATATGTTTAAAATAATATATGTATTACTATATGTTTAGTATGAACAAGTGTGTACTCAAGCGCGCAATTCCACGTTGTACCTGTCTGTAAACGCTATATAGAGGAACACGTAATATTGTCATTCAATTAATTAATATGTATAGCGTGACAATGCGTTAATAACAAATTGAATCAGGGATTCAATTCTAAATGGAACTTATAGTAATAAAATTTGTAATAAATCAAAACGCGTAGGACGCATACAATGATGGCTGACGTTTGATTAGATCATCATCATCGACGTTAATATTAAATGCATAAACCGCTTCCTTTTGCCGACATTTTTGCTGGGAAAGTGAATTTCGTTTATGTTTGGAACTTGTAGTGACTAACGTATCCATGACTCAGAGCCATTAAAGTCGAGGTGCATGGAAACAGAGCTTTACTGCTGTTTGATGGAAAAGAACGGCTATCAGGGCGTTTCGTGGCACAAAATAAATTCCATTGATATTTTCCAGAAAACCACGCCAGCTGCGGGTAAATGTACTTGAGTGTTGTAAAACATGGAGAAAAATCGAATGCAAACGATAAAAAGGTAGTATTATTATGTTAGCAGAATTGTAATCAACATTTTTGCTCACATCAATAAAACCTGCTTTAATGGTTTACACCTTAGCGATAAGAAAATCTTATGAGATTTTGATCTTGACTTACACAAGCAAAGATTTATCTGTTTCTATTACGCTTATCACACGCATAACGAGCGAATCGAGTGCTTGTTGAGATAGGGAAAACAATTGCAATTTAAAAATCATTTTATCAAAACAATTCATGGTTACTGTGTAGGGCATCGAACGCTGGAGCGTATTTTGATGTATTTTTTTTATCATTTTCTTGCTACATAATATAGAATTTTCAAAATAACTGAAACACATGATTGTGAGTGTTTATAATTCGCAATTATAACGTCGCAAGTCAAGTAACTACATATTTATCTAGAACATCATATTTGATTTATAATAATGAGGCCCATCTTGTATATCAAACAATTGTGAAATAAATTGAATCGCTTCCGTACATGCTCGGCTCCGGACCGCTTTGCAATATGAAGGGTCATCGATCATTTTGTTAGGACATGCGCAAGCACCGGCCACCGGAGCATTCGTATGCCCATTATGCTCAATGTCAATGCTAGATCTTGACACACTTCTCTATTTATTAATAATACAACTTGTACTTGTTTTTGCTAATATTTCCATGTTAATTGATGGTGAGGTATGAGTAAGCAGGACTGTAGAAATAAAAGAAATAAAAATTCTTACAAATGATAATCAAATCTATATCTATACTAATATATAAAGCTGAAGATTTTGTATGTTTGTTTGAACGTCTTTATCTCAGGAAATATTGGTTCGTGGTAACAAATTTTTTTTTTTTGAGGAATTGAATTAAATGATTTAGAAAGATGTCCGCGACATTAGATGTCTATCTTTTAAGTTAACTTGAAAAAATGCCGGAGCGCGACGTCGTGGGTTACACTTTAAGGTATATTTTATAAAGATTTGCAAAAACAAATTTTTATAGAAACTAAGTATTTTACAGGTACTACTACTACTTGTGCCAGCGACTTGATCCGCGTAAAGCTGAACTTGTGAAATAACTCGGCCCAATGTGGCACTTTGGCGAGCAATTGTAAATTAGAAAAAACAATCGGTGACAACCGCGACATGCATCACTAACAGAACAGCTGAATCAATGCCCAACTTTCTCCTTCTACGTCGAAGGCAGCGACGAGCGTTCGAGCGTTTGGCGCGGTTAGTGTGCCGCTTACATAAACGGATCTTGCGACCAATGTGAAGGTCAAAACATTCGCCACCGACCTTAAGCGACCAGCTTTGGTCAAAGGCTTCTATCGTGAGAAACGTCTAATCCACTTAATTATCACCTAATACAATTAAAATGAGCTAAATCGCGGATTCGCGGTGTGAAGTGCTTAGCCGTAATTCAGAATAGCAATGCAATTAAGTAACTAAACATTCGAACGGCCTCTCGGCTAATCAGGTTAGGTGGACGATGACAGACCCATAGAGACCGCTTCGTGTGCCGATTCGTCGGCTATTTACTTATTGTCATCAGTTCAACTTAAATGTATTTGTGACAAATTAATTTTCACATTTATATTATTTTTCAATAAAATAAATCTTATCGTGGGACTGGAGTAAATACTTCGATATGATTTATTAAGCAACACCCATTGTGTGCAGATTTTTGTATCGCTTTTTTTTATTCTTATACAATCTTATAACTTATTTTTTACCTTTTTTAATCTTTTTAAAACTCATAATTGATATCAATTCAGATACTGTTATTTGAGAAATAAATAGATTTATCAAAGCAATTTTTTTTTCAAAGCGGTTTAAATCTTATTTATAAATTACTTTAACAACGGTCCGACGTTTCGGATGCTCGCCTTGACCACGGCTGCCGCAAAGCCTGAAGTTAAAATAAGTTGAAGTAATAATATTTTGGGTTTAAACCGGTAAACTGTTTTATTTTAAAGACACCGGGAAATTAAAGAACGGTATTCTGATGCGACTTTTTGATACACAAGGAGAAAGGTGATCTGGTGTTACATTTGTTTAAATATGTAATTTAAAAAAAATATTTGACGAAGAGAGGATTCTTGGTAGTGCGTCATGAGCCTTACGGGAAATCCCGAGTCGCAATTTTATGAGCCGCAACGAACTGCGTCAAAGAGATTTTAATGAAATTAGGTTGTAGCATAAAAACACATATATTTTTAATCATACACAACAGTTATAGTAGGTTTCGTCTGTTTGTTCAGATATGACGCACACGGCGCCGAAGGGATTTCAGTGATAAGGATAGTTAAAAATAATAAGAGATAAACCATGAAGTCACGGGCCCATTTTGCCCGGTACCATATAATATGTAATAGACACGAAAATATAAGCCGTAAAGAAACGAAATTAAACGATGAATTACCTAGGTATCAAATATAAGTTTTTGTTTGAATAATTAAAATAAATTAATATTAATAAAAAGGCTCGTTTTCAAATCAGACGAAGTCGCGGGCGATAGTGTTATTAAAGATGTTTAATGAATTGTTGATGCCTTGAAAGAACATTTCTAGTTTCAATTTACAGCTTATCACGCCAGCGGCCTTGCTACTAAACTTCCTGGTTTGAGTAATGTCTAGGTTACTTTAGCCATATCAACAAATATACGAATAAACCGCCTAGGTACTTAATTAAACCCCTTTTAAATAAATATCGTCTGTAGCTCGCGCGAGTAGTACAGATTTAAATAAAACACTTTAACGGTTTAAAACGCGATATATATTAGTTAAACTACTTATTTAAAAATTATTTTTAACTTCGACCCGACGTTTCGGATGCCTCGCAGCAGATACTCCCCGTGACCACGACTACTGCAACCGTTAAAGTATATTATTTTAAACCTTTTCATAATTTAAATAATTAAAAATTGTATGATATGTAAATATAATTAGGTAACTCAATTAAATCTATATATGAAACAAGATTAGTCTTGTTTCATATACATCCTTATAATAAATACGATTG